TTTTTCCAATCAAAAAAATTAAAATAAAAAATAAAAAACGTGTCAAAATTATTTATTTAATAACGTTTTTAGGCATATAAATTAGCCTATTTTGTAAAAAAAGTGTATAGAGGCCAGTAGAGAGCTGTTTTTTTTTTTTTTTTTGTAACTTTTGTAATTTGTTTCTAAATTTTTTTGTTTTGAAAAAAAGTTTCATAAGCTTTTTTTCATAAAACGTCCTTAGATTAAAAAATTATATTTGATATATATCTGACTTTTTTACAATCTTTTTTAGCTTAAAAGGGAGCTAACTTCCAGACATGATGCAAACTCCAAACAATTGTATATTTATTTTTATACCAAATAAAAATGCCTTGCAAAAAATTGCGAATAAGGTGAGCTCTCAATTGACTATATAGTATGAAAATAAGCTATGTTCTAAATTGCTGCCATGGCCTTATAATATTTGTTACCTTTATAATATCCCAGTTTTATGCAAACTAACCTTATTTGAAATAAACACCATCATATAAATGTTTGGAGTTCCATGTCCGGAAATTATCTCAAACAACAAAAAACTTCCTACGGTGCTGAATGTTTACCACAGAGAAATAGTTTTAAACCTTTTTCAAAATTCACTTTCAAAAGTCACTGGCTGTTAAAGCGACAGAAGGAGGAAAGGAAACCAATTGGCTTAAATGAGTTTTTATAAACCTTTAGAAGTAAAATATGTTTTCGTAATTCGTCATTTTATTTATAAATATTTCTAAATACTGTAGCATATTTTAGTAAAACTTAGAAAATAGTAACACGTTAAAAATAACATCATTTTAAAAATTTTAAAGAATTCAATTAAATTTTTCGACCGTTTGTCATTTATAATATCACTAAAGTCCATACTTTTTTTTAAGTTAATTAAAAATTTTCTGTTAAAACAATGTATGTTTTAAAACGGTTCTTAAAATTACATACCTTATACCATATTGCGCAAAACATAAAAAGGAAACAAGTTTTTTACAAAATATGTCTTATTAAAACTGTATAAACATAGTTAAGTTTATTTATTTTGTAAATGCAGTAAAATTGCAGCGGGTTTGAATAAAATAAAATAACTATAATGAAAAAATATATCTGAATCAGTTTTGTCCGATAAATAAGATCTATGCATGTGCTTTAAAGTTCACATCTACTTTATGTTGTTTAACATCTTTTTTAGTCATTAACAGCTACTTTTAGACATTATTTAACAGCTACTTTTGCAACTAAACCCACCAACACCATTGTGACGAAGCATTCTCGTGTTGCAAAACCTTTTGAGGGTTTAGAAACGAATGCTGGTTCAGGTTCTGGTAGAGGCGTTGTTGCTTGTACTTCCAATTTACGTTTACTTGAATGAATGATGCACAACAAAAACAAAAAAATTTCAATAGTTCTCATTTTGTCTCAAATGAAGACAATTTTATTTTTTTGTAAATCTTGTCGCAAAAGTAAATTTACTTTCTCTTTTAATTTCTTACTCTTAGTTTATAAGTTTTTGCATAATGTATTGCAAAATATTGTTTCCAAGCCTTTGCATCGTTTCCAAGCTCGTTAGTTCTATTATTCATAAACCAAATGCAAAACCTAATTTATTATTTAATTTTCATGTCACTCCAAATTGAAATAACCTTTCATTTTAGTAATGAATGTAATTTCAAATTAGATATTTTAACCATTTTGCGTCGGCCATATTTTTAAAATGCATTATTTATATTTCTACCCAATGAATTAATTTAAAATAATTTATTGTTATTAGTAACGAACGAAAATACGTGTTCTAAACATGAACCGGAAAAAAACAGTTTAATAATACGGTTTGTGGGACTAGAAAAAAAGAATCCAAAACAAAAAACTTGTAAAAATGTAAAATGAAACTAAAAATAATAAGGGAAAAATTTGATATAAAAAAATGAAAACAAATATGTGACTAATTAATAAAAAATCTCGAGTAGTGATATAAACTAGAATTATATAAAAAAAAATTCAGTCAAAAGATCATTACGTTGATTATTACATTCAAAGAGAAATCAGAAATCGCTTTGATAATAGAAGTTACAAGTTTTTTAATTATATATTTTTTAAAAAGAAACATAAAAAAAACTTTTAGTAATGATAGTATAAAAAGGTTTTTTTAAAATAAAAAATAAATTTTGTACTTTGCAATCAACTTTCTTCCCAATCTTCTCGCTTAACTTATCTATTTTTTTTTTTTTTAATTCAGCTATTATATGGTTTACTCCAAGAAGGCCTTCATATTAGAATTAGAAGGAATTCATATTATTAAGCGCTATTAAATAAGAGTATTTTAATGAAGATGATTATTTTTTTTAAATTCTAATTGATTATGTTTTTATAACTAGAGCCCAATTAAAGTATAAGATTCTTTGAATCTTAGAATATAAAATCTTTAGCACCCTTAGATTCTTAGAATATAGATCCTCGAAATCCCTTAGAGTATAAGATTCTTAGAATTTATAAACGGGTAGCATTACTTAGAGAGAAATCATGAAAAAGAAATGGCTTGAATCGAACAACCCAGGTTTGTATCAAAAATGGATTGATGGAATAACATCGAAATTTTCAATAAAGAGAATTTATCGAAAATTTAGTATAATAATTATTTCGATTGTCTGCCCAAACTAAAATCCTCAATCAATCTATGTACATCTTCTATGTACATCTTCATGTTCTACCTATTAATTCAGTCGATGTTTTTACGCTCCGCTGAGCTAATCCCTAAAAAAATCAGTCGATAAAACGAATATGAAAAACTATTCAGTAAAACAAGTAAATTTAAAAATCAATTAAACTAATAATTAAAAAAATTAAATTAAAAAAGTTATATAAATAAAAACAAATACATTTAAATATAAATTAGATGACTTAAATTGCAATTCGATACAAATCCCGAATAGGAATTTTTAATGCAAATTACACAAGTAAGTTTTTGGCTAAAATCATTTTGATCTAATTTTCTTTTTTGACCAATTTTTTTTTTTGAGTAAGCTTTCCGCTTACTCAAACCACTCCTATTTATAACTTTAGCTATATTTTAGGCAAGGAATACAATTAAAAAAAAAGTAAACGCGTTGTTTTATTTAAATTTCTTTTCTCCGTGAATTCAAAAACAAATTTAAAATCATAACTTTTTAAATGAGTTTTTAGTTTAACAAAATTTAGCCATTTTTATTTCTCATTATGTTTAACATAACTTTTTCACGTTGTTATACTTCCAAAAGATTTTGATAAAAATAATATTAAGACCTTCACTTTTTACTGCGCTGTTGCGCGAAATAACTCAACAATAATGAAAATAAGCGTGATTACGCTTTTGAATAATTTGGGCAAAAAGAATATTAAGACCATTAAAAAATCTTTATTTTATTTACCAAATGTAAGCATAAGTTAAAATAACAATAGTATATTTACTTAATCTGCAATATTAGTTTGTTAAGAAATATTGCGAGGCAAGAATTATTTTGATTTATCTCCACCTTTTTGAGTTTTGAAATGAAACAATTCAAATTCAATTTCAACTTTAGAAGATGGCATATAAAAAAGTTTTTTTATTTCTTATGTTTTCCCCACTTATAACCTAGACTTTAATACTTGAGAAAAATATTATTTTGAGGTAGAAAGCACAATCATTAACAAAATTATTTTTAACAAGATAATTCTAAAATAGTATGCACAGTTTAATATCAAAAAAAATGTAACTTAAGAACGGCTAAAAAGTAACAGGCTTGGTCACCGAACCTCCAACTTAATGTGGAAACAAAAAACAAAGCATATTAGTTTTTCTTTCCAAGTTTAAATAAATCACTAGGTAATAAGAAATAAATTTATATTTGTTTTGAAACTAACAAGTAAAAAACAAATTTCAGTTTTTTAATTTTGATTTTCGCAATAATTTTTGCGTTGAATAATTGTGCAAATGTTTTGGCATAATGATAAAAATGTTTGTATAATTGTGCATATTTTCGATAATGATAAAAATGCAAAAAAAAATCCTGATAAAACAAAATTCAATACATTTTACAGCATGTCGGCATTCCTTTTTACAATAACTTAATAAGACATATTATAAATATATTATAAATATATTACTTATTGAAATTGAATTTAAACGAGTTTAGCAACAAAATTCCACGTAAATTAATAATTATTATTTTTAATATAGAGAGTGTTACAGAAAAAGATTTACAAGTTTTTTTATCTTTCCTGGAAAAATGCATTTCAGATCATTTTATCCAATTTAGCAAAAGAAATCTCTCATAACGTCAAAAGTGAGTTATTTATTTTTATTTTAAAAGTTATATTGTAATTATTAAAGATTCAAAAAAATAATTAATTTTTAAATAAAAATTCATAATCAATTTAAAATATATATATATATATATATATATATACATATATATATTGTTTTAAAAGATTATTATTTTATATATATATATATATATATATATATATATATATATATATATATATATATATATATATATATATATATATATATATATATATATATATATATATATATATATATATATATATATATATATATATATATATATATATATATATATATATATATATATATATACATAATGTGAGAGAGAGAAACTAAAATCTATACAAGAACTATATTTATGTATTTATGTTGTTTGGTTTTTTACCTTTTTATTGTACTTTTCTAAAAAGTGCAGTAATCTTTACTGTTTGATCATATATTGGAATATTTGTTAAAAGAAAACTTTAAAAAACCAAGAGTTTACAGTAGAAATGTTTTGTAAATTGTCTAAATGGTAATAACAGAGTCTGGTTTATTTTCTTAAATAAACAGATTTGAGTAGGTTTTATCCACATAATACATTAAAACAATGTTTTTATTCGAAGTTTTAAGATGTTTTTATTGGATTGTGTGTTGTTTGTTTATTGTAAACAATTTGAACTAATTTAAAATTAATTTTTTATTTTTGCAACGTGTACAAATAAGTCAGAAGTTGCCAGACATTTGTTTATTTTTAAATTAAACTATGCACAAAAATCTACTATAATTAGCCAAAGATCCAAGAATTCTACTTTACTTGGACAGACCTCGAAAAGACCCAACAGTTTGTTTCATTTTCATTTGTTTTTTTAGTTTTTCATTTGTAATTATTTGCAATAAAAATATTTTAAAAAGGAAATTTAAAATTTATTTTCAAAATAAGATTTTTTTTGGATAAGCGTTTACTTTAATAATTACATTTTAAATCGTTAGAAATCGGAGTTAAAATAAATAAACAACTTAATCAAAATTGAAAAAAATAGGAAAAAAGTTGAAACACGTTTTTTAATAGATATCTCAAAGAAATTAGCAATTTGAACTATCTTCTCTGGTAATTTGAATTATCTTCATGTAAGCAAACAAGTGTTTCTTTTATTTATTTATTTTTTTTGTCTTTTTTTAGTTTTTTTTAGTGTTTTTTGTACTAAAACGGAATAGTAAATAAATGTTTTTCTTTAAATGAAAGTAAAATAATAATTAGTAATAAAAAAAAAGAAAATGAAAATATGGGGGAAATTTTTACAGCATTTTTATTAGTTGTTGTTGGAAATTTTTACTATTTTTACACAAGCATTTAAACTAAATTGAAAAGAAAATTACAAAAAAGTAAAGTAAGATATCAATTTATTGATGTATTATAAAAATTGAGAAAATATTTATTGACTTTAATCTTACAAAGTTAATTGCATTGGCTTTATCTGTGTATGTTTAAGTTAAGCAAATGAGTAAAATTGCCCGTTTCACTTCAATTTTACTCTCAGTAAAATTGAGAGTATTCTCTCAAAGTATTCTGTTGTTCCTGATTTCTGGACGTCTTTTGCCTCATACTCTTTGAAGTAATCTTATTTGAACTCAAAATACATTTTCAGAGATTTTATTGCTGCAACAGCTGAACTGAGCCAATCCAGCTTGAGGTCCTGTAACATCCATCTAGATTTTTATATGCAGTTTATCTGCTTGTTTGTTTTTGTTTTGTTTTTTTTTAAAAAAAAAAAGGGGCTAAGGGGCAGATTAATTTTAGGGGCCTGGATTAAAATTTTGTGGCGGACTAATTTTTTGTTGCAACGCTTTTTATTACTGATAATATCAATATTAAAGAAAAAGTCACTTAATTAAACTAATTTTTAACAAAAATGTAAGGACTCGTTGGCTAGTCTAACGAGAAACGAGTTTAAAATATGGACTAAAACTTTACCCCAGGGCCTGCCTTGGCTCTCAATGGCGCTGAGTATTCTCCTTATTTAATTATTACATCAGCAATAACGTTTTCTGCAAGGCTAAGTGCTCAAGGATATTTTTATTAATAAAATGTAATACTACGTATGTTAAAAGTGTATATACATAACATGTGATACCTAGAAATCCCGATAAAAGTTCGGTCGACATAAATTGTTTAAGGAGTGTTGCAAAATTATTGCAACTTATGCTATGTTGTAGTAAATTTAGCTCTCTACAAATTGCAATATATCTTTTAGCAAAAAATTGTTTATAATGGCAAATAAAGTTATCTCAAAACAGGAAGACCTCAGAAAGCACGTGTACGCGTTAATCGATTTGCATCCGGATATGAAGAAAAGTGAGATTGTGAGACACTTCATGATCGAAGGCGCATCAAGGTCAACCTTGTATGATATTCTGCAGCGCAAGACGCTCAAAATAGGCCCTGAAATACAGCGTGGAACTGGACGAGTGGCAATCAAGATGAACACAAAGCAAATCGCCATGCTGAAAAAGCGAATCAATCAAGTGACGGAGTTAGCCAGCGTCAGCTAACCCGCGAGTATGGTGTCAGCCAAAAGCACATATAAAAACAATTAGCACTAAGGCAACAATCAAATACAAAAAGAAGAAAAGAGTTCCGAATCGAACTCCGCAACAGAATTCAGTTGTTCGTCCGAATTGTGGTCATCTGGCCAAAGTTTTCCGCAAAAAGAAGGTGATCATCGACGACGAGTCCTATTTTTTGTTGAGCAATAACGAGCTATCTGGAAACGCTGGTTTCTACACGTCTGACGTTGAAGTGACTCCAGAAGCTGTTAAACTCAAGCACAAGTTCAAGTTCGAGCCAAAGGTACTTGTTTGGATTGCTATGTCCGAAAACCTCCTGTAAAGGCACCTAGTGACACCTTCGAGTCAAGTGATCAATCAAGATGTCTACATCCAGAAGGGCTTGATGAAGCGCTTGATTCCGTTCATCGAAACAGTTCATAAAAACGACGAGATTGTTTTCTGGCCTGACCTCGCTACGTCTCATTACACAAAGAAGACGCAGGAATTCCTCCAAGTGAATGGCATCAAATTCGTGCCTAATGAGCGCAACCTTGCCAATGTACCAGAACTTTGACCAATTAAAGACTTTTGGTTAGAACTCAAACGAAGAGTGTATGATCGTGGCTGGAGAGCAAAAACATGGACCATCTCACTGACAGGATCAACTACTGCATAAAACGGATCTGTCAAGATCGCGTACATCGACTTGGCAAGGCTTCTTTCAGCCGAGTGGACAAAGTTCGCAGGCATGTTAAACTTATTATTTTTTTAAATCTGAAGCTTCACATGCTTAACTTTAATTATCTTTTTACATAAAAGATAATTAAAGTTCAGTTATATATCTTTTTTAAATAAAATTGCACCTTTAGCCTCAAAGTTATAAGTTTTTTAGTTTTGTCCGGATTTCTAGGTATCATGGTTATATATATATATAAATAGTAAAATCACTAAGCTATCTTTTTCCATTACCAGCTAGAAGAAACATAATTTATTTAAATTAAAAACAATTATTGCAAATTTTTAACAACTTTATAATGCAACCATGTAACAAAAAAATAGCTGATACTTTGTATACATTTTTACTTGTGTGTGTATAAAATTATTTTCTCTCAGTTTTCAGAATAAATACTTAGTTAAAAATCCAATAAAAGTCCATTTTAAATAAAAGTTCTTAAAACAATATATTTTCTAACAATTTTAAATAACAAGGCTAAGATAAAAAAAAAAAAAATAAATAAATAAACTTTTACAAAATTTCAAGGTAAATAATCTGCATCTGAAGAAAGATCAAGAGGATCTTCTCATCAGAATTTTATACAAGAGTAAACCAACATATAAATTAAAAAGTAAAAAGTATAAGAAAAATAAATAAAACAACTAGCAATAAACTTCTACAAACGTAAACACGTATATAAACAATAAAAAAGTAGGCCAAAAACATTTTTAACTTTTACTACTAATAATAACATCTAATGAAAGAATGAGGTTTTTCAGTTTTTTTTAAAAAAAAGACAAAAAGTAATAGGTACTTTATTATTAAAATTCGGCAAAACAATTTTATTACAAAGATGTGAAATACGATACACTCGATAGGTAATGTAAACGATACACTCGATAGGTAATATAAACGATACACTCGATAGGTAATATAAACGATACACTCGATAGGTAATATAAAATTGATTAAAGTTTGTTTGACAAAAAATTTAATTAATTTAAAAAGTTATTATTTCTCAAAGTATATTTACAGATTGGTTTAAAAGAGAAAAGATCTTTAAAGACAGCTAGGGATAAGTAATTTATCCACGTATATACAAAACACAAAATATTAAATACATTTAACTCGTATATATTCAGAATTCTTATTTCAATAAAATAATGCTTCGAATACGGATTGCACGTTTCTGACGGAGATAAAGATTTTGCAATTTGATGGGAGAAATCGCTTTTTTGTAATCGAATGAAATAAAACACGTTTTGTTTTATTAGTATTCAAGGTTAACTTATTACACTTGAACCAATTAGATCATTTCATAGTTCTTCGTTCACTGTTTTAAAAAGTTTAGCGATATCATTGTTAGAAAAGAATAAGTTTGTATCGTCTGCATACATAATGCTCGTTTTTTTTTTTGAAGCTTTATTTAAGTCATTTATATAAATTAAAAAAAGAAGAGGTCCAAGAATTGAACCTTGTGGGAATCCACAAGTTATATTTAGAAAAGTGGATTGATAATCATTGTTAAATAGTACAAATTGTTTTCTGTTAGATGGATAACTTTTAACGCATTTTAAAAATTCATTTTTTATTCCGTAATATTTGAGTTTATAAATCAAAATATGGTGATCGACCGTGTGAAAAGCTTTTGATAGGTCTATAAAAATTCTTAGTGTGTATATTGTAATTTTTCGAATAATTTTGAGATTTCACGCACAAATTGGATAATAGTACGTTTAGTTGAGTTATCTTTCTTGAAACCAAATTAATTGGTGTAAAGTAGAAATATAAAACATAAAATATCAACAAGCTAATGCGCCAATATTGGAATATCAATATTGGCCAATATGAACATGGCTATTCTGGTATTCTTTTATCAGACAAAAAATTATTGGAGCAATATTAACTTGCTCACACTTGCCAATATTGGTATGGCAATTTTACTGCAACATAGTCTACAATTATTGGCATATCTTGTCCGATATTGGCCAAGATAGGGATATACATATATATATATATATATATATATATATATATATATATATATATATATATATATATATATATATATATATATATATATATATATATATATATATATATATATATATATATATATATATATATTTGGCCATTAGTAACAATCCATCATCTTTTTTTTGATATCATTCGACTTTGATTGATAATAAGGCGTTGAATATTTGACTCTTTTAAAATACAAAAATTATTTATTGATGAGGATCATATTTTCTTTCAAATAAATATAGATATTCAAAAAAATATTAATGGCTGCACTAATTATCTTGTATTTTTTGACGCATATCTCATAATCTAAAATAGTTGTAATAGCCAAATACAATCCACTCTATTATTTCAAACTTTCTTCAAAATTTCATTTGTCTTTGAGTAAAACTTTGAACTTATTTGCGAATTATTAATAATTACTTGAGAATTTAATAATTACTTGAGAAGTTGTCATAAATATTCAAAAAATTAAAAAAAAAATGAAATATAAAAATTGGTATCAAATTAACTACAACATTTCAGCAATAAATCGATCAAAAAGACTGGAAAAATTATTTATAAGACAAAATGTAAAATCATAGCAATGAATGAACAAAAAATCTCAATGAGAGAAATAGCAAAACAATTAAAAATAACACATACAACTGTTAGCAGAATCGTCAACCGATATTACAAATATTGCATTGAAAATCTTCCACGCCCTGAAAGACCCAGCATTTCAAATGAAAGAAATAAACGTTCACTTGTTCGCATAGTGAAAAAAAAAAAAGTTATCATCAACTGAACTCAGTTGAAAATGGCAATAAGCTTTTCGTGTTGTTGCAAGAGCTCGAACAAATAAATGAGTACTACAAAAACACTACTAAATGTGGCAAGCTGCTTGCAAAAAACCAACGCTATCAAAAAAACATCAGAAAGCACGAAAAAACTGGTGTTTAGCTAATAAAATATTATCTAAGAGCATGTGGCATAACGTTCTTTTCAATGATGAAATGATCATTGAAGGATGATCTTGATTCAAGAAAAAAAAACCAAGTAATGCTGAGAAGAATGCCACATGAAAAAATGAACCCAGATTGTTCTATGTATAGAAACAAAACAAGGTAATCGCAGTATAGGTATGGGCCTCCATGAACTATGAAGGATCCGGTTGCTTCGAAATATTTGATGGAAGGCTTGATTCTCAAAGATATTAAGATATATTGGATAATTAATGCCTTCTTTTGAATTAATTGAATTGATGCCTTCTTTTGACATTTTCCTAAAAGACATAGAGTTATTTTCCAACAAGATAATGTTCCATGTCATACTGCTAAGATTTTCAAGTAATTGCTTGAAGAAAACAACATTAAAATCATGTCTTAGTCTGCCAATAGTCCAAAACTCAACTGCATAGAAATAATAATGTTGTTGGTTAGACCATAATCTTGGTAAAATTTAGATAACAAATCCGACCAGCTGAAAAAAGAAGTAACAAAATTACTGAGTAATGTTCCAAAAGATATTACTTAGAATTTAGTGAATTCCATGCCGAAACTAATCAATGAATGCTTAAAAGCTAAAGTATTGTCAACAAAATATTAATTTGTTGTTTTTTTATTTTTTTTTAATTTGTAATAAAAAAAAATTATTACGGTTTGTTAATTTTGTTGTTTTGGTTTGTCTACTTTAATAGACAAACCACAACAACAAAATTAACGATAACTTGATTTATTTCTATAAAAAAAAAATGTTGAAGAGAAAATCTCTTTTAAACTTTAAAATATTTAATTTCAAACTTAAATTCATACCAAAATAAATACCAATACTGGCAAATACTGTATATATATATATATATATATATATATATATATATATATATATATATATATATATATATATATATATATATATATACATATATATATATATATATATATATATATATATATATATATATATATATATATATATATATATATATATATATATATATATATATATATATATATATATATATAAGAATCAAATTAGAATGATAAAAATTTAATGTATTTAAAAAAAAAGCAATTGTTTTTTCATTTTTCTTTAATAATATATATTTTCTTTAATAATGTTATTAATTTATTTAAACTTAATTTTACTTTGTTTATTTATTTAAATCTATAATTCTGTTTTATTTCGATATTCTTTGTTATATATTTTACTTTATTATACTTTATTGAAAAATTGATCGATATTATTTTATTTTAGAATGATCGATAAACTTACAATATCTTATTTTGTTTGTTGCACGATAGGAATTATTATAAATGGAGTTGGGCTAGTTATTTTATCAAACTTAAAGAATGGCGGACTTGATATAACACAACGATACGTTCTTATAAACTTATGCTTCATTGAATTAATCATGAGCGCTCTTCTTACAATTAGAGGAGCACTTTTTGTAATCAATCTACATATTTCGATATATTGGAAAATTCTTAATGTGTTCATTTGTATCGTAAATACAGAGTATTACTATGCCACGTTTTGGTTAGTATTCGACAGGTTTTTGCATATAAGGTTAAACATAAAATATGTAATCTACTGGTCAAAAAAGAAGACAATAATAGCGACAATTATTTCATGGATTATTGCAGCGTTGAGTGGAAGTTTACTAGCAGTATACAATTTGGAGTTGTTTGCTATTGTATATGTAGTCTTTGATTTAATTATTCTCCTGTTTTCTGGCTGTATTTATGCTTACGCTTTACTAATTTTTAAGAAACGTAGAAAAAATGTTCGTTCTAATCAAAATCAACGAGGTATATATAAAGGATTGTTACTTTCGTTTTTTATACTTGCAACGTTTACTTTGTTAGTTGCAATACCGGACATAATATGGATGTTAGCTTATGTGTTCAACAACATTGATAAAAACGTTAAAAAATATGTCACGTTGTACGCGTGGATAGTTTTCCCGATTTCATTTTGGAGTGATGCTTTAATATATATATGTTTCTCTCGTAACGTTAGAACAGCGTTTAAAAGAGAGAGAACAAGAAAAGAAAGTATTTTTTTATTGTTAGATTAGAAGATCACTTCTGAAAAACATAAAACGGTCAAAATAATTCAAAAAACTTTGTTTTTACGTTAACTTTTTTTTTTTTTTTTTTACATATATATTTATTTTACATATTTTTTTACATGTTAAAAAATGTAATACATATGTAAATACCAAAAAAAGTAATTACTATAAAGTTGTAAATACTACGTAAATCTAAAATATGCAAACACTACGATACATATAGTATTTACAATTTTTTACAATATATCAAACTTTTACGATAAATATAGCTAAAGACACTTTTAATACAATAAGAAACATCACAATATTTACTACATATTTAAAATATCAAAATATTTATTACATATTTGAAATAATAAAATATTTATTATAACGTGTTTGGAAAACGAAAAATGTTACAATTTATATTATGTAAAAATAGAAAAAGTTTTTATATTGTCGCGGGAAAGTTATTGAATACCTTTAAATAATTTCAAGAAATATTAATTTTTTTTGGCTGAACTGTGACAGTTATATTTTTCAATATAAGGAATACAATTAATATAAAAAATTTAACTAGTTACCAAACATAAGATTAAAGTACCATAAATACCAATAATAATTTTGTGAAGTCGGAATAATATTAACTAATAATATTGTGAAGTAGAAATCAAACGAAAGTAAAATGTTAGTCAAAGAAATAGAAACTCGAAGCTCTATTCTTTCACCAGAATATCTCCATCATCTCAGATAGATATCTTTATCATCTCCGAAACCCATTTAAAATGTTTTAACTTCACCTGAAAATGGATGAGATAATGAAATATTAGATATGGTAGAGATCAAACTTAGTTTTTTTTCTGCATATATTTTACAATTCCGGCAGCTTAAGGAGAGAGATTATTTACTAAATTAAAGCTTACAAAAAGTTATCTGAGTTCAACAATGATTCAGGATTGATTAAAAAATTTAGCAACGATGTTGATTGATTCAAAATGTTTTTTATTTTGACCATTTGTGGCATACCTCCATAAACTAGTCTCTAGACCACATGTTAGCCACTTATAGCGCATGTGATATGCGCTATAAGTGGCCAACATGGTCCACTAGTAACCAATCAGCAAAGCTACAATAAATTGCTAAAAATGCCTATTGAGTGGATTTCAAGATAAAATTCGGTCAATCGAAATCTCAGTATATTGTAAAATTAGCAGTTTGTGTTATGTAAATATTGAAAAATGGTCTTAATCTACAAATTTAGAAAGTTTAAAATTAGGATTGGTTATAGAATGTCGCTGTTTTCAATGAAGAAAGAGTAAAAGTAACAAATAAACTAAAAATATAAGGTGGGTGTGGGTGTTAAGGCCCAGTGGGTAATAAGGCCTACTATTCCAAACTACGGGAAAATATAAAATGCGAAACTTTTTTTGGCATTAAAACATAACAGTCAAGGCCGGCGCAATGGGGGTGTGTAGGGGATTTTTAAAATTGAGGACCTTGTTGTTTTTTTTTTTTAGTCGGCAAAAGTTGTTATGGCACCTCCCCCCTGACCCCCACGTGACACCTACTCGCGCCGACCCTGATAACAGTTATCTGGTTTTATCACATTATTTCAAGTAAATTTATTTGCATTAAGTATGCCAATAAATGTACTTGAAAAAAATTAAAGCTTTATAAAATATTTAAAAGTGTGAAAATACCTTAAAAATTCGACTTGAGCAATTATTGACGGAACCTACGAAATAACCTTGCTTTGTCAAACGTACGGTAAAGAAAGGCTAATTTTTTTTGCTGTTAGTGATATTTTCATACTTTCAATTGTAATTTCACACTTGTATAAAGCTTCAATTTTTTTAAGTACGTTTATTTGCATTAAGTATTTATTAGTTATCATTACTCAACACGTAATATTTATGCACGTGTAGAAACAAAAGGATACTTTATCAATAAATGTAGCAGGTTCAAAAAGATTTCGTTCAAAATTTACATATTTTCTAAAAACTATTCCAAAATTTTATTGTTGCCAACTCTTTTTAGAAAAGATACTTTTGAGGATCACATTAGAAAACTTTTTACATTAACTCCTCTAGAAGGAGGATTGGGTATACCAAAATTTTATTGTTGTTAACTCTTTTTAGAAAAGATACTTTTGAGGATCACATTAGAAAACTTTTTACATTAACTCCTCTAGAAGGAGGATTGGGTATACCTATACCCAATCCTCCTTTGAAGAAGCGCTTTACCAGCTTTTATCATCTATGAAATTAACTAAAAATTTTGTACAGAAAATTATAGATCAAGACACAATTTTAAAAACAAAAAACTCTAACGGGAATGTTCTAGAAGATCTTGAAAAAATATTATCTGCTGACAGACTTAAGAATCGCAACGAAAAAATAATTGCAATTAATTCAATGCAACCAGATTCTATGTTAAGAAACATACAGCAAACAAGAAGCAAATGTGCAAGCACCTGGTTAAACGCTTTACCGCTAGTGCATCTCGAAAGGTTCTCCGCATTCAAGAATACGAGGAATTTTTTTCAAGTCGAAATTATATCGTGATATAATTTCGACTTGAAAAAAATCCCTCGTATTCGTAAATGCGGAGAACCTTTCAATGTAACTCATGCATTGTCGTGTAAGAAAGGTGGCTTCATTTCAAGTCGTCATGATAACATAAGAAATTTGTTCACCACATAAAAGAGTGCGTATAAATGTTCAATCCGAACCACACCTCATACCCCTTGATAATGAGAATTTTTGATTCCATACAGCAAATAAAAGTAACAAAGCTTGTTTGGATATTAAAGCAAATGTTTTTTGGCGAAATGGACAGACAGCATTTTTTGACGAAAGAGTTACGCATGTCAATACCATGAGAAACGAAAATCTAGATATAGCTGCTATATTCAGAACACAAGAAAAGGAAAAAAAAAAGAGAGTGTGGCGAAGAGTTCGTAAGGTAGAACATGGCAGATTGACACCACTAGTGTTTGGTACAAATGGAGGTATGGGTAAAGAATGTCATAAGTTTGTTAGAAGGCTAGCCGAGAAACTAGCATAAAAAACAAAACGAAAATTACTCAAGTCTCTTACTTTGCTTACGTACACAACCTGAAATATCCATTAAAGTCTTTAACTTTAATGGATATTTCAGGTTGTGTACGTAAGCAAAGTCCTTGGGTCCCGAGAAGAAATTTATTTTTTACTTTTTAGTCCATTCATTAAATGATGTTATTAAAAAAAAAAAAAAATTATATATTTATTTTTATAGATTTAATGTTTTATTTTTTTATTTTTTTATTTATTAAAAAATTTATTTATTATATTTATTTATAAAAAAATTTATTTATTAAAAAAACATTTTTTTACTTCTATTTTCAGTTTTCAAATATTGTCTTTGGAGATGGCAACTGCTGATAGAAAAATAGAGCTAATTGGACAGAAATTCAATTGCAGGAGGCTCTCAAAGCTGTACAAAAAGGATCATTGCAAAAAGAAGCCGTCAAAAATACAAAACTTCTCGTAGAACTCTACAAAATCATTTGTGTACAGGATCTTAGAAAAAGTCTTTAGGAAGAAAAACTACGCTTTCTAGTGAGCAGGAGCCAATGCTGATATCAAGAATTTTTAGATGTCAGAAATTGGCTTGTCAATAACACCAAAACTCTTGAGGGCATATGATTTTGAAGCAAACAATATTAATCATTGCTTCAATGTTAAAAAAAAGCTGGCAGGTAGAGACTGGTGTATTAATTTTTTAAGGCGCTTCCCAGAAATTAGATGCCGAAAGGCGCAATTTATGAACCTAGCAAGGGCACAAAAAAATAAATTCGTTTATTGTTAAGGACTATTTTACCAAATTAAAAAAACTAATGGTATTGTATGGTTTTTTTAACATTCCAGAAAAGACTCTACGACATGGATAAAAAAGGAGTCAGACTTACAGTTTACCACTAGAAAGCTGTTTTAGCACAATGGGGAGCAAAGAGAGTTCATCTTCTTGCTCAGGAAAATGCGGAAAATGTGACTGCGGTTGGCTGTGTCAATGCTATGGGGTGTGCTATTCCTACAATGGTGCTTTTTAAAAATATTCGGCTGAAGAGAGAATTCAGTGACGATTTTCCTCCTGGTTCAACTGCATTAATGACGGAGAAGGGGTTGATGACCATCGAATTCTATTTTTTATGGCTTGACCACTTCAATAAATATAAAACAAGTGGAGAGACTTAGTTAATTATTGACGGAGCTGCTTCCCATGTCAATATTAGAATAGTTGAAAAGGCAGAAAGTTTTAGAATTCGCATCTTTTGCTTACAAAGCAGTATTACCCATGAACTGCAGCCCATGGACAAATCTGTTTTTAAAGCTTTTGAGTCCTATTGGGATGAAGAAGTCATGAAATATTTAAAGACACTTCCGGACAGGAGAATAACTAAATCTCTATTTGGAAAACATTTTACACCAGCATGGAACAATCACATGTCAATTGGCATTTATATACCATATTAGTGGTTTCAGGGCTACTGGGATTTATCCTTTTAACCCGAATGCCATTTCAGATACTGCTTTTTTGCCTAGTACTATGACAGAAATTGATGATGCATTTTTTAACATGTATATTACTGATCTTTTTGATCCTTCAACAGCTCTAGTCGTCATACCAGGACTTTCAACAATTCCAGTCATCCAACCCGGTCTTTCACCAGCTTCAGTCACCTAACCCGGTCTCTCAACAGCTTCAGTTGCCTAACCCTGTCTCTCAATAGTTTCAGTCGATCAACCCAGTCCCTTAACAGCTCCAGTCGATCAAGCCAAAATAAATATTAATGCAATTTTCACTGATTTAATGCCGAGTCCTGCTAAAAAGAAAATTATGGGTATGGTCGGCTGGAAAAAAAGTTTTAATTAAGTTGCTAAAGCCCTGACGAAAGAAGATTTTTTATCTTCCACTTTTAAAGCTGTTAATAAAAAGAATAAGGGCAAAGGACAAGCAAATATAAAGAAAAGTAAGTTTGTAAGTATGGGTGTGAATGATTAGTTTTGTTCGTTGTGCCATCAAAAGTGTGTGGAAAGTATGCGACAATGTTGTAAATGTAAAGTATGGTACCATGAGGCGTACATGGGGTATGATTTTGAAGATGAGGAAGAGTTAGTATGTCCATTCTGTGAAGATAAATGATTTTTTTTGTAACATTTTTTTATTAAATTTTTCAATTTTCTGTTGTTATTCATTGTTGAATAAAAAATTAGTTCTTTTGAAGTATATAAATATGCAAGATTACTTATTATTTTATAAATGTGAGATAAACTATGCATTAAATGAATGGGTCTTATTACCCCCAAAGGAATAAAAAGGCCCACTTAAGGCATGTTAAAAACATGAATAACTTTTGTTATAATTATTTCTTAATATACAGATATCAATTTTACATCAAGGAATGATTAACCTAAAGCAGCAATCAAAAATATTTTTTTAAACTTCATTTTTAAGACCTAGATGACCAAGAGTCTGTTAGATGGGCCTTAATACCCACACTTACCTTATACTTATAACTAATTATAAATATAACTAAATAAAAAAGTATACATTTAAGAAATATAACTGGTTTAGAACTTTGCATTTTATATCTTGAGATATACCTTTTTTTACATTTAAACTCCATACAACATTTCGTAAAACTCTATTAAAAAATGTCTTAATAATTTTCTATGTAAAAAAAAACATAAATAAGTTGATAAATAAGTACTAAATGTAAATAAATTTTTCATTTTATAAAGTTAATATCATTCTACTGATTTTTATTCGAAAAAAAATAACATTTGTTCATTTATAGTTACTCTCGAGTCCTTAATAAAAGGGAGGGTAGGAATAAAAGGAAGGGTGGGAAATTTAGTCCAGATCTAATAAGCGTGGGGTTTGTAATAAAAGGAAGGGGTGGAAGAAGAATTTTTTTATTTCTTTTAAACTATATTTACAGTCAGTTCTTGAAAACTTTCAATCTGACACCATGTTACAATATAAGTATTTTTTATAAAAAATTTCAATTAAAAAATCAAAACTAATATTTTTTACAAAACACTCATGAAAAACTTTTTTAGTGTAGAAATAAACTAAAAGCTCATATAAATTTTTAGTTAATTTCTACACTAAAAAAACAACGCAAATTTATGATTAATCAAAACAACACTTTATTAAAAAAACAAAAAGCAATCAATAATATCAATTAAAAAATCAATCAAATAAAAAAGACTTTTTAATTCTTGTGATAATGTTGAGTCGTTTAGAGGTACTAGAGGTTGAGTTGAGTTTTCAGTGCAGCACTTTTTGGTGCAATAAAACTCAGCGTCTTTTACCTATTGCTTTGGTATACATGTTTGACATAGCTAAAACTTGTTTTAGCTATGTCAAACATGATAATAGACTTGGTTGAATAAAAAAAAAATCTAATGAACTATTAAAAATTATTTTTATAAAAGTATTAAATCCAGTGAATAAAACCAAAAGTGTGATGATGCAAGACTATGGCATTCAATTGACCTCGGCAAAAACCCAAACAATTTAAATTTGAAAAAACCTGATGTAAAGAGCATTGTTGACGTACATGACGTACATACTGCAGACGTTAATTTCTTTTAACCATCTTTTCCCTTTGCTTTGTCGATACATATCAAACTTTTTCAAAATACCTCCTTAAATTAGTTGGCATAAATAATAGACACATTCCAAGTGGATAATTTTTTAAAGAAATAAGTATTTACAAAAACTTTCTTTAAGAGCTTAAAGCTTACAATGTAACTGCGTTATTAAATTGTTGAGCTTTAATGCCGTCTGAATATTGCCGTTAATTTTTAAGCTTCCATTTTTATAAGCTTCTGTAGGAGATATTAGACCGTGAAATATACTTCGAAGAACGTAAGTATTCATTTCAAATCTTACATCTATATCGATAAATTGATTGGGTTTATTTATTATGCAGCCAGGAGAGTTTTTTAAGTCTAATATCCAAATATTATTTTCTGATGTATCGGATATTGAAAATTCATAAATGGCATTTATTTGCTGACAAAGCTGTTCATTTATAACGCACTTGATACTATAGAAGATTTCGTTAGGGGTTAAATTTTCGTTTGGTTTTTGTTTTAACGACGAAGCAAACACCGGTGTAATAGAACCAAATGTTCCAGAAGAAGTTATACCTGAAACAGAATAAAGAGGAAAAAACTTTATGGTAAATATTGTTAACATTAATTGTTACCAATGAAGCTAAAGGATATCTCAAGGACTTAGGCAGTATTAAAAAGGAGCTTTTTTTTAACTCGGTTCGGTAAGTTTTTTTTAAGTTTACTTTTTTTAAACTTCGTAACCTAAAGAATTTAATTAGCTCAGCTTCTTCAGTTTACAAAATTGTAAAACTTAAAAATAGTAATATCTCCATTAAACCCCTAAAGTTCTTAAAAAATAATTAAATGCTTTAAAGTTTAAATGCTTTAAAGCCATTTTTCATAAACTTTTACAGAAATTTATAGTGTGTTTAAACTCAAACTGTAGAAATAGAACTTGCCTCAACTTAAAAAGCGAACTTGGTTCAGCTTAAAAAGAAGAGAAAATATATATAAACTCTAAAACAAGACCGCAGTACTATGTCCTTGGGAAATCCTTCTTAACATCAAAAACAAAAACAAAGTACATTACGGTAGGAATAAGAAAAACATTAAATACAAAACAGTGTCAAAACAGCTCATTACTTTTAAATACATTAATGATAGCTGAAATTCCAGTTTCATTGGCCTCGTCAATTTTCAAATGATCAGAATCTTTTAAAACTAACGAGGTTCTATAAATATAGTTATATAATAAATAATAAAGGTTCTATAAATATAAATATAGTAATGAGGAAATGGAATTATTAATATTCAACCTCTAAAGTTATACAAACCTTTTTTAAATTTTTAAGTGGTATTATCATTTTCGTTATTTATCTAGAGTTTTTAGTTAATTTTTTACATGCTTTAATTGTTTAGTTCTTTAAATATTATTCATTAATTAATATAAATATATAAATAATAAAACTTTTATAAACTACAAATCTTTTACACGCAAACTAGACTTTAAAAAATACAAAAAGTTTTATACTTTATAATATAGAAAAAAACAAGCAAAATAAACAACAACAAAGAATAAAAATAACCTACAACTCAAACTTAGATATTTCAATAAATATATAAATAATAAAACTTTTATAAACTACAAATCTTTTATACGCAAACTAGACTTTGAAAAATACAAAAAAGTTTTATACTTTATAATATAGAAAAAAACAAGCAAAATAAACAACAACAAAGAATAAAAATAACCTACAACTCAAACTTAGATATTTCAATTCCCCAATGGCCCACTGACTTATTCATATGATGCTATAAAAAAGTTGTAATCAAATTTATAATCCAATACAAACTCCAATACAAAGAGGTTTGAAATGTATGTTCTGCAAAGTTTGAAGTCAATTTTTTTTAATTTGATTTTATAACTAAATTTGATGCTGTTGATTAAGAAAGTTTTACAAACCTCTCAAAACAAAAAACATTTGAAATAATTTTGTAATTAACAATTAATAAACTCAAAGAAGTGACTCGGTAGGTAGTTGTAAAACCGGTATTAGACATGCTATAGTTTCTGCATATCTGATATAAAACTAGAGTTTTCTTGGATTAAATTAACTTGTTAAAATCTATTTATCACAAAGTACTGTGCAAAACTGTACAGAAATCTATCTTATAAAACTTCTACAATATTGTAAAAAGTAGTGTAAATTTGTAACTTATGAAACTGTAAAAATTTTTATTAATAAATTGTAAACTTTTGTGTAATGCATACTTTATAGCACAATTAGAAGAACTTAAAAAAGGTAAAGGATTTCAGAAAATCTGCACCATTTCCAGATAAAATTGAGAACACGAAAGTTGTAATTAGGAAATCGTTATATGTAATTAAGTAACACAACATGTAATTAAAAAATCGTTTTATGTATATGAGAGACATATAAATAAAATTTTTATTTTTTATTTTTGAAACTCGTTGACACAACGTTTCAACAAGCAAAACATTTGCTTGAAGTTTGGTGAGTTGAGCACGGGTTACTGCCATATTTGTTGTGCTTGATAGAGACAGGTCTCAGTACACAATGTCTAACATATCCTGTAAAAACAAAAAGCAACACTTTGTTGAGGTGTAGGTTGATTTTTGAAGTTTGTTGATTGTTTCAGCTCTATCAACTGACACTTTCTGGTATGGTTTACGTAGAGTACCCACTGCTTACTTCTTATCTCATCCAGTGGGATGGTCACAATCCAATTAAATATGCAATGCAAAGACAAGAAGTCCATGCAGGTATCCACTCCCTTATGTACTTGACTAACATGCAGTTTATGCTGTATCAAAACACCAAGCTTAAAACACCAAGCAAGAGATCATTTCTAGTATTCCATAGTCTATATTATAGTTCTATATTCATGGATTTTTACTAGTGCCTCCTTGGTAATGGTAAGCGATTCTTTATGTTATCTTTTAATGAAAGTAAAGCTTTAAAATTCAGTTTAATGTTTCAGAAGCTTGCTGGTAGTAGGAGATAGCTCTCAGGTAATTTCATCAATAACTGTAAAATATAAGAGTATAAAAAGATTGAGTATAAAAAATAATTACTAAACATTGATAGCCTATATATATTTACAAATATTTTCTAGTCTTCAAAGTAGTTTTGACTAGAATACTAAACTGAATTACTAAAAATAATATTTGACAGTCTTAACTACAAAGTAGTTAAGACTGTCAAATATTATGTCTTTTTTTTGGATAAGATAGTCATTCTTTTTTTTTTATGCCTCAAATGCAAAGTTATCAGCATCTTTTTGAAGCTGGATAATAGTTTTTTTCCAAAGAGACAACCTTAATATTTATTTCCTGAATTTCTAATGCAATCTTAATCTCTTTTTCATTCTTCTCTTTGTTCAATTTGATTTTAGATTTATGAACAAGTAATTGTTGATATTTTTGACAAGAAGATTTCACATGCGATAACAAATTCTTTGACATAGGAAAACTGTGAGGTTCAAAATTTTTGCGTTTCATATAGTCCAGTATTAATCCTTGAGAAATAAGACTTTCCATGTCAAGATTTTCAACAAGAAGCATTTTGTTTTCAGTAAATCCTCGCTCAACAGTTGCCTGACCGTGAGATAGAACTAAAACAATTTGGGCAACAGACCTAAGGGATTTATAGTTAGGATCTGAACCAATGTGCTTCCAGAGAAATGAGTCCAACCGATCTTTAGATTCTTCAAATTCTTAGAATAGTTCTGTGTTAGCCTTAACAAAATTTGACAAAAATTTTGAATACTCTTGTTTGGTTTTCATTGCGGTTTTAGAAGTCAGTTTTTTCAAACCAACAAGGATTTCAAGCATTTTGTCTAATAAAGCTGTTAATAACGCTGTCGGTTCCAACATAATTTTAGCATTTTAGCACTTTAACACAACTTTAGGAGACAAACAAGAAGTACTTCGAACAAGATTATTTTTCAATATACTTTTTTCTGTAAAATGCGCACATAAAGTAGACAAGAACTGTAAAGGGTCATACTGAAGATTGCGTAAATGACTATCACTCAACTTTCCATTTTTTTTCAAAATTCTGATATCATGTTTTATAGCAAAACCAAGATCAACAGACTCCAATAACACTTGATTAACTTTATCAGTAAAGTTAACTTTGAGCAGCTTATATACAGAGTTTGCTTTTTCTAAAACATAAATTAGGAAGGATTGGATTGTCGGTTTGAAAATTAATTAAGAAATCATTTTATGTTGCAGTTTCATTGGTATAATGACAACTTTAGCAAGACAATCAAAACTAATGTTTTGTCCAGGCTTTTCATTTCCAGGTTGCTTTGATTTTGGTAAGCCTTTCCAAAACTTAACAACTTCAATTATCTGAGGCCAAATCATTTGGCCACGTTTGAAAACTATTTTCATAGTCACCTCGGCAAGAAGGAGACTCAAAAAAGTAGTTTCTTAATATTCCAGTCAGTAGCCATTTCCCCAGTTTGGAAAGAACGATGAAGGGTATGGAGACTACATGTTCCGATATTAATTAATGGATCAAGTAAATTTTCTTTTCTACTCTCATTTCCCAGATTTAAAAAGGCTAAATTTACATTAGGCCTGTCAGAAGAAACTTGGAGGACTTTACTATAATCCAAAGAACTGAAACAATTAATATATATTTTGAAAAAACATCACCACAGATGCTTTACCCAGGAACTCAGAACTCCAATAAGATGTTTTTACTTCATTTTCTGTGTCATCCCAAAAACGAACATGTAAATCCATTTAATTTTTTTTAGAAATTTTGTTACAAGATTCATCAAATGTGGTATAAGGAACTTTGTTCAATTCGTTTAGCATTGTTTCTTTAACAAAAGGGGCGACACCGTGACATAAAATGTAACTACATTTTGTCTTTCCATAAGTGAAACTTTGAGCAATTTGACTGTCTGGAAACATGGAGCAAAACAGCTTACTTTTTGATTCTGAAGAACGATAAAATTTACATTTCAAAACTTCTAGTGACCAAATTACCTCTGCATTTAATATCTGATCTCTTGACATCATATCAATTAAACTAGTTTGCTTTTGAGCTACTTTTTGTTCTAGTGGATAATCTTCAGATAACCTTTTAAAAAAACTTGTTTACTGCTATTAGATGGACATCTTTCCACATGTTTCTTCCCTTTGGCATGCTGCTTTATGTTTTCTATTCCATTGTTTGCAATGCTAAAGGACTTTGAACAAACTTTACAAAATGTACTTGTTTTATCTTTTTTATCTTTTTGCAACCAGCATTTGAACTCCTCTTCAATGAGCCACAAGTCTTGAAATTTACTTTTATACTTAGGCATTATTTATACCTTTCTAAACAAAACAAATAAATTCTTTATGGTAGACATACTAGAAAATAACTACATTTAATCAATTTCTACACAGATATAAACTCTTTAAAATTGTTTTAAGAATAAGAAAACCTTTTAAAAAATGTATTACTGTAACTAATACAAACATTAATACTGTAACTAAAATAAAAATCTGCTAATCGAAACAATACAATATTATTTTTAAATAAAAATATATTTATTTTTAATATTTCTAAAAATTGAGTAAACTTCAGAAAAAAAAAAAAAAAGAGGAGTTATAGAGGAGAATTGATCATATTTTCAACTTTTTAGATAATAATAGAGAACTTTAGAGGAGATTTTTAAAAAAAGAGGACTTTAGAGGATTTTAGAGGAACTGTGGCCACCCTGGAACATTATTCAGTTACTACTCTACTCGATCCAAGATACAAATTGGTATTTTTTCAGATTTCAAGGTGCTTTGCAAAAAGCTAAACACATTGTCATATCCCGATTGGACAATTTTGAACCTATAGATGAATTGGCTACTGCAACAAAAATTCTATTTGGCGACAATGAAAAAACGCATCGTTTGTTCAAATCATCACGTCATGTCAAAAATTATTGTACATATCTCAAACTCAAATAGGACCAAATGCACGTTCATCTTCCAAAATGATAAATGAAGCGTTGAATGATTTTTTGGATAGTCCAATAAATTCGAAATGTCTTAGTTTTGGAAAAGCTATGAAAAAAAATGCAAATTCTAAAATCAAGTTAGCATTGACTAAGGTGGCAAAAAAGTACCTCACACAACCTCAAACATCAATAGATGTTGAAAGACTGTTTTCTACAGCTGGAGATATTCTTTCAAACAAAAGAAACAGAATTCATCTAGCAAATTTGCAAGAACTTCTATTTTGTCGAGAAAATCTTCCAGTTGTTGGATTCTGCTATTGATTATTTTTATTAATTTAATATTTTGCTTAAACTAAAACTAACTTTAAAAAACAAGTATTGATTTTTGGTTCTGGTTTGGGCTTATTTTTTGTTCTAGTTCCGGTAATGAATAATAAAAGTCGATTTTCGGTTCGGTTCCGGTTACAGCAGAATATTAGTTCCGATCGATCACCAATTTTTAGCTTGTTAATTGTCTGCATAATCATTTTTTTAGTTTCAGTTCAAAAATCCTCGAATGGATGGAATTTGGGCACATTAACAGGGTTTATGTATTTCAGCATATGTTTGATATTTTTGCTTTTTAGGTAACCTTTTAGAAGACTAGATCAGGCCAGAATACAATTTTGTTGTTTTTATGAACCTTGTTGACAAACTTCTTCAATTTATCCAGGCATTTGAAAATATACACACCCTTGTGGGCTACTTGGCCTGAAGGAGTAATGTAATGTAATTGAGATCCCTTTTTCTGACAAGGCCATCCAAACTAATAACTTTGGCTCATATTTTGAAACATTCATCTTTAAAATGCAGAAGTTACTTTTTTAACTGTTTTTTTGTTTTGTTTTGTTTTGTTTTGTTTAGTAACTTTGTATACAAAAAAATTTGTTGTTAACTGTAAACAGTTTTGTTTTCTGTTACTAAATATTTTGATAAAATAATCTTACTCTCCAGAAAAATATTAGAAAATATTATTATATGTTTTTTAAATGTGTTTTTTACAGAATTGTTTTTTTTTGATATTGCAAAAAACTCAAAATGGGTTTTCATAAAAAGTATATATGCAATTAACTTTAAATTTTCAGGTGCGCTCCTTATTTATTTTTCAGGGTGCGCTCAAATTATTTGAGGGACTGTAGCAGAGTTCCACTAAACCAATGATATTATTTTACGTTTAGAATAATTATCTTAAATAAAAAATTGATTTTTATTTTGCTTTCATAGCTTTTATCTGCCATTTTTGATACACAATTTTTTATTAAAAAATTCTGCTACAGTCCCTTGGAGTTAAAATCATAAAGATATTTTGAAATTTTTAAGTTCATTGGATGTATATTTTAGGAATCAAAAAATTTCAAGTGCTTATCTCTAACATAATTGCCTTTCAAACTTTTGTAGCAAACTTTTTTACATAATTGTCATTGAAATGTTTAAGTGGTTTTTTAAAAAACTAATTACTTCTTTCATCATACCGCTTACCGACTAATTTAAAAGTTAAGCAATGATAAAAAGTTGCTTTAGGCGTACTAGAAATATCTCTAGACGTACATAAGTTATACTTTAGTATTCTTTAATATAATAATAAATACAGAATTTCATTTCAAGCCTAAAACTGTTTTAAAATTAAAATTTAAAGGTAAATTTATTTGTAAATTTTCAAGTCAATTTTGATTTTAAAGTCAAAATTTACACCATTAATGGCAAATTAACTTAAAGATTCAGCATAACCAAATGTTGTGCAACTTTCTTTTTTAGTTAAAAAAACAAATATAAATGAAGAAAACAGATAAAACACAAAACATTTTAAGGCAATCAAGCCGACAAAACTTAAACTAAATCCAATTTATTTATGCATTTGTACTTTGCCTATAAGAGAAAACCATATGCATTTTGTTTCAAATTTTTTCGCAAAGACCTCAAAAATTTTTAAGGAATTCTTTTTAAATTAAATTAAAAAAAACTTTTTTTTTGTGATTTAACAAAATGTTTGTAACCCTTTATGACAAACTTTAACAATTAAAAATCAATAGAATTACAAACTTTGTTTTTTATATTTTACTCGCTTTCCCAAAGGTGGAGTACCATTACACCACTACAGCATATATAAAACAAAAGCGTTTTAATAAGCCTTAAATTTAAAATAAAGGTTTAAACATACCAGTAACTTTGCTTCAATGTGAAATTTCTCATTCTGTATAATACTAGAACTCTGACCACTTAATTGAGTACTTAACACTGTATGTCCACTCATTTGCAAGGAATGGTCTACATCTTTGACAAGAGTATACATTGCTACTGGATCCACAATTTTATATTGAACATTAGCTCCTACTTTAAAAATGTTTCTTTCTGTTGAAATGACCTAGTGATGTTATTGAAGTTTACAACAAAAACAATAGCAATAATAAAAACAACAACAACTATAACTGTAACCAATCAAATCGTTTTAAAAAAATTTACAGAAATGTTATAACATATACAAAATGTAAAAAATATTAAAAAAAAAATTTTAATACTTCAATTGGTGGCACACTAAAGATTTTTGTTCGGATATCAACCTTTTTCCATTTATCAACAAACGGAATAACACAAATAATGCCTACAAAAAAACAGTTAAAATATTTCTTGAAAATGTTAAAACATCTCTTGAAAATGTTAAAATATTTCTTGAAAATGTTAAAACATCTCTTGAAAATGTTAAAATATCTCTTAAAAATGTTAAAATATCTCTTGAAAATAGCAAATTTCACAAAAACTCTACTAAACACTAGTTGTTTTTTTATATCACCTATATATATTATAAACTTTTTTCACAAATTTTGCTGAAGCGCTTCTATTACACACTTAAAATTGCAAGACAGAACATTTGATTTGCATAACGGCAATTCTATATGATCATTATCACCACCATCATTATGATCACAACAACATATTGCTACAAATCTTAAACAATATAATTTAAATTTATACTAAAAGATGACCAAACTATAATACTAAAATAATATTACTGTATTAGGCAAAACAATTTTTTCATAAACTTTGTGGTTTACTGTTCCTTTTTCCAAGATGACCAATCAAACTATTCCTTCCGAACAGACAACTAACCATACCATAACTTTTTGTGGAAATTTGTGTTTTTGCTTTATACCACCATTTTTTTGAATAGGTTGTTAATATATAACATCAGAATATAAATTCATGTTTCATTTTTTTTTTTGAAATTGTTTTGTACCCAATTCACACACTTAACTCATTAAACTTAGAATGGTTATCAATGAGTAGCCATTCTGTTATTTTTTTTTTTGTATGCCTAACAATGTACACCATTTTCTACATATTTGGTATGTAAAATCTTTTAAATTTGAAATTGCCAATGTTCTGAGGGATACTTTTTTCTTCCAATTAGAACAAGTTTTTACTTTGTGAATGTTTGTTTTTGTACATGCAGTTTGTAATCTACCAGGTGAGTGGTGATAATTGACAGCACCTCTAGCCTTGATCTTTTTGCGTCATCTTCAGACTTTAAAAAAAATTACTGAATCATTTAAATTATTGAAAATCTTTCATACCGTGGTCTCCTCTTCAGTACTTAAAAAGTGCTACATATTTTAAGTTAACATTTTTCATTTTCTAAAATGAAAAAAATTACTATTTGGTAAAATTGATCATAAGTCTTTGTAGAGGAAAGAAAAGTAAATATTAAAAACAAAAGCTAGATTGATATCACAAATACTTGTGGAGATAATTAACAAATGAAAATGTGACATTCTTTGAGAAAACTATTTCATGTATGTTTGTGTTAAGTCTGGCACAGTGTTTGCTCACCTGTGTAAGTTAGTATATGTATGTTTGTGTTCTGCTTGAACCCCTGGTGTAGTGTTACCAACTAGTGACTGCAGTTACCAACTAGTGACTGCAACTGTGAAACTTACACTATCCTGCTGGAGAGTGTTGAATCTTCTTGATAATACTCATAGATTTATTGCTTGTGCCCCCTTGATAGTGCAACTCTTTCTGTTGTCTACTAATGATGGTAAAGCTCTAAAACTCAGTTTAATGGTTCTGAGGCTGGCTGGTAGTTTAGTTTCACAAACTTTGTGGTAGCTCTCAGAGAGGCTGATTCCATCAATATCTGTAAAATATCAAAATGCCATGTTATATCCCTAATATTGTTTTTAGTGTGCATTGTTGAAGCCATATAAGGAGCCCTAAGTTATGACTTTGTTTTAATTAGTAGGACTAAGACAGCTACATACAGTAGTGTCCAAAATTAATTGAACAAACGCCTATTTTGTTATTTTTTCTTATAAAATTAATATTTATTAATGAAATTTTGCATAAGCATGTCAAATTATACAACAATTATAAAAAATAAAACAAAAATCCACTTTTGGGAGTTGTTACTCAAAATTTTTATAATAGAATGAAACTGATTGGCTCAAAAGTAATAGGACAAACTAAATATATCATTTAAAACAAAATTGTCTCAAGAAAGTAAATATATTTTCAGCATTTTTATGAAGATTTCAGTTACATAATATATTTAATGTTACATTCTGTTTCAAAATGTATACAATCTGTACATAATTCTAGTAGTTGGTTGGAAAACCTTTTCCCGCAATGACAGCATTGCATCTACGTTTCATTGAATTTACCAAATTAATTAAAACATCAATTGGTATTTCCTCTCAAGTACGCTTAATTAACTCAAATAAATCATGTTGATTAGAAGGTTTGCAATCACTAATTTTACTCTCAATATGCTCCCAAAGATGTTCAATTGGTTTCAGGTCTGGAGATTGTGATGGTGATTCCAAGATAAGAACTTTCTTTTGAGCAAAAAATTCAGTTACTAACTTGGAGGTGTGCTTTGGATCATTGTCATATTGGAAAGTCCAACCACGCAACATTTTTTCCTTTGCATGTGGCAGCATTATATCTTTGATTATTCCTTTATACATTTTTTTGTCCATCATACCTTGAACTCAATAGATTGGACCTACTCCATTACGACTAAAACATGACTAAATCATTACCAAGCCACCACCATCCTTAACTGTATGAACTTGGTACTTAACATCATTTTGGCAGGGTTGGCAAATAAACCCAACCCAAAAAAACCCAAAAAAACCCACCTTAAAAAAACCCAAGAAAACCCAAAAAAAACCAAAATATATTTGGGTTTTTTTTTAAAATGCCCTATTTTACAACTGATAACTCTGATTTTAACACTTATAAATGTTCTATTATCAGCCAATGCAACTTTTATGCTGTAATTACTCTTGTAAACACTGTATTTATATACAAAATGGTATTTAGAATATATCAAAAACCAATCAATCCGTTTTTGTAGTTGGTTATTTATTATTTTTTTAAAACATATAGCAAGTTATTATAAATATTATTAAAATATGTATTAAAACATTAAATTAGTTAAATACTTATAAAGGAAATAAAAATTTTTCTATTAACTAAATTTTAAAGTACAAGATATTACTAGTTATTTAGTATCTTTATTTTCTTCTCGAATGTCTATATTTCCAAACAAGCATTCTATAGATGCCATTTCATATTGGTATTTGATCTTTTATTTTTTAAAGCTTATGTTGTAAACTGTAAATTTCAGTAAAAAGCCACAAGCAAAATACTATATATAAGAATTGTTAAACTTTATTTACAGCCTAGAAATGGTAAGTTGCCAGGCAAAAAAAAAAAAGCTACAGTTTACTAGACTTGTCCTTATTAAATGCGTACAACTTTTAAACATAAAAAAAAATATGTTATGTGCAAGCAAGTTTCATTCAATTAGAGAACATGTTGAAAACTTGTATGCAGTTCACAAGGACAAGATTTGTTGGTAAAAATGATACTCATGCTCATCTATCTTATTTACAGGTTTTGAATATTTTGCATCAGCTACAAGTTTACAACATGTATCGTCAACAAGGGTCACTATGAACAGCATGTTGAAAATGAACATCAGTACCAAGTTTGCTAAAAGGTGAAGAAACACACGCAATAGAGCTATATATTGTGTTACTTTGATTCAGTTGCAAAACTGAACTGGTAAAACATCTTCAAGTAAAAAAAAAAAGAATCTGGTGGTGAAGACACTGTAATGGTTATTAACAAATTCATTTTAGATATTTCAAGAACAATCAAAGCTTAGGCACAAATCCATTTGCAAAACAAATCTCCCCATAATCTAAAAAATAAAAACATTATGAAGTGTCATTCGGAATTGGCTAATCATTACTCTCTTAAACGTTTGGATATAATTTCTAAATTGTTTTATGTAATTTTGTATAGAGGAGAATTTTAAATATTGGTTACATTATTCAAGTTCTAAATATCCGTGTTAGATTAGCTGAACTTCCTGTTTCTGATCATTCTTATGAAAATTGTCAAATCAAGCCCACAAACTTGGTTTACTGATGGAAGCTAATCGTACCATTTTAAAAATATTATTATGATTTTATAAAGTAAGATAATTAAGATAATTACTGCATAATGTTGATCAGGCTGATAACCTTTCCAGAAAGCTGGACAGTATAATGTTCTGTTAAAAAAAATGTAGTGATTAGGCTAACAGTTTTCTTATATGATGCAAAAATGTTTAAAAAGTGTTGATAGTCATCCTGATTGACAATAATTTACAAGGTTGCAACATCATGTTGCAAACTTGTTGATTACATGTTGTAAACTTAGTTTTTAAAATGATATGTTGAGCATGCTAGTATAAAAAACTAGTTTGCAACATTTATATTGTCTTACTAACTTTGAATAACTCAATTGTCATAATAACTTTTATAGTGATTTTTTTTTGGTCAAAAATAATCTGAACATGTTTTTAATTTAGTGCAATTAATTAACATCCTTTATAGTTGATGGAGTCCCTTTTTTCACTATAGATATAATGTGCTAGTAGACTAGTGGTAAAACATTTGGCTCGCAATCAGAAGGTTGGGGTTCAAATTACCTCTGCTGAAATTACTGTGCTCAATCTATTTCTCCGCACAGCGCCTTTGTTTAAAAATATTAATTGTTAATGTTGTTTGTTAATAAAAATGGTAATGTCAAGGATTTAGACAAAACATTTTTTAAAAATGAGTTGCTCCCCTGACTAAAGTGGTCACTAAAGAATTAAGGAAGTGAATTTATGAAATTAAAAAAATAATAATTGTACACATACAGTTATAAAAATTTGGTATTTTGATTGGTTTTTAAATGAACCCAAAAAACCCATAAAACCCAAAAAACTCATTTGGGTTGGGTTTTTTAAAAAACCCAGGGTTTTTTCCAACCCTGCATTTTGGAGAGCTACTGGACGTCGAACATATTTAATACTATCAGACCGAAACATGTTACTATGTAAATGTGTAAATTCTTTATGAATTTCCTTAGCACTCTTGCGTGGATCTGCCTTTGATGACCTTACTATAACATTCTTGACAAAAAGTTGTTGATTTCGGGCGTCCTGACTTTGTTAAAGCCTGGAAATAATTTCATTGTTGAAAAACTTTTAATGTATAACCAACTGTTGATCGCAGAATGTTCATACCTATTGAAGTTTGTCGCACACTCTTACCATTATTAGATCCTTTATTAACTTTTTGACTGCCTCGATTAAATATTTATTATGTCCCATTATAAATTATTGATTCTTGAATGTTTTTATAAAACTCTGTCTTCTAAAAAAGAAGTTTTAATAGTTAAAGTTGTTTTAAAGTCATTAGAATTTAGTTTGTCCAATTACTTTTGAGTCAATCAGTTTCATTCTTTTAATAAAATTTGAAATAATTACTCCCAAAAGAAAATTTTTGTTTTGTTTTTCATAATTGTCATATAATTTGGCATGTTTATGCAAAATTTCTTTTAAAAATGTTAACTCATTGAGAAAATATTACAAAAAAGGTGTTTCTCCAATTACTTTTGGACGCTACTGTAGCTCATTACTTGGGATACCATGCTCTATCTGGGAACGAGTTAAGTTTTTTAACTTAAACCATGTTCAAAGTAACCAAAAAAATTAAACATAAAAACATCACCACCACCTAATTGTTTCATTACATCTTTAAAATATGTGTGGTCATCATACTAACTTTACATCTATTAAATCTTGCCTTTTTTAAAAACTACCTGACTTTTTGTCTATTTTTAAAACTAGTTTAAATTCGGCTGTTCCTTCTTTAGACCTTAGCATTGATAGTTACTAACTTTTGATTTGCAAAGACTCTAATAGTCACATGTTTGGTTTGGGCATATACTTAGGCATCAATTCACCTTTTTGTCAAGAAATCAGATTTGAATCCTCTGACCATTCTTTTTTGTGCTTCCATTTAGCACCTCTTTACTTTATCATCTTTATCTTTGTACTTTATTGTTGTTGTTCTTCTTCTTAAGATTGCACTCTTTTAGATATAATTTTTGATCAAATTGACCACGCCTGTTCTTTTTACCTTTTTGTTCTTTACTTTATCATCTTTATCTTTGTACTTTATTGTTGTTGTTCTTCTTCTTAAGATTGCACTCTTTTAGATATAATTTCTGATCAAATTGACCATGCCTGTTCTTTTTACCCCTCTGCCAATAATGTTGTTATTGGTGACTTTGATGCCCATCACACTGAACGGCTTGGTTCTAATACCACTGACCCCGCTGGCACTAAAACTTATAACTTCTGTATTTCTCATTATTCAAAAAGTAAACTTTTTGAATCATTTTCTAGACAACCTATTGTACTACCCTATTGTAGATTTTCTAGATCACTTACCTCTTATTTACAATTCACATCACTTGCGAATTGTCTCTGACACTAACTTGTGTTCAGTTTTTACTTCTTGTCCTTTAGGTGGTTCCAGCCATGCAATAATCTCTATATATCTTTCAACTCATACTTCTGCTTCAGACTCACCTTATCGTTTTACTTTTTACTATTAGCCTAAAGCTGACTGGGATTCTTTTTGTGATTTTCTTCATAACGGTACTTAAGCTAATGTCACTTTTCTCTCTGCTGATAAATGGGTCTCCCACATAATTCTTGGATCCAGGCAGGTATGGAAGCTTTTATTCCCTCTTATTGGTTCTAAGCAAAACCTCATTCTATTCCATAGTTTTCACCTTTATTTGCAGCTGCTTTATCCAATATTGTAATCATTTTATTATCTTTTTTAAAAGAACAACACTTTTGAGAACAAACGTCTTTTTACTATTGCAAGAAACCAATGTAAAAAGATGCTGTCTGGTGCTTAGCTCCATTATTCCCAGTTTACTAAATATTGTATCATATCTCAGAAGTTAAGCTCTAAAAACTTGAAAAATACTCATTGTTACACATTTAAATTACTCCAGCTTCCGTTACTTAAGTCCGTTACTAGAATTAAACTCTTTTACAGCTTGTGTGACAACGTTCCTGACATAGTCTTACAAGAGTGTTCTCCAGAACTCTCTTCAATTCTCTGAAAAATGACATCTGTGGTTCCAATTTATAAAAATTTTTGACAACATTCTGACCCCTCCAACTATCGTCTGATCAGTCTTCACTCTATTATTAGCAAAATCTTTGAGTTTTTGATCAACAAATTGATAAAATCCAGTCTTAAGTCTAATAACTTACTCTCTGACAATCAATATGGTTATCGATCTCCTCGTTCTCTTGACATATCTATCTTTTCATAAGGTTTTGCATGCTGGTTTTTTCATGTTTTGCATGTTTTGTATCTGAGAAAGTATTTGAGATTATCAGATCATTTATTTCTAACCACTTAAAGTCATCTTCAAAGGTCTCTTCTTTAATTTCAATAACTTCTGGGGTACCTCAAAGTTCTATTCTTTGTTCTGTGATATTTCTTATCTACATTAATGAATTCCTGACAATCTTACATCTAAAGTTGCTATAATTAGTGACGATTCAACTTTATACTCCTGTCTTAACAAAAAGTCTTCTCTTTTTGATCACTTAGAACATCTGATATTGATTTTGATCTCACTTCTGTAACAGCTTGAGGCTTGCAGTGGCTTGTGAATTTTAACTCTAACAAAACTCTACTAATTTTTGCAAACTGTTGCAATACTGTTGACATTTCTATATTAATGAATAGCAACTCTCTCACTGAGTCCTCTTCTTTATGTCTACTTAGATTATCATTCACTATTGACTTCTTTTTACTTATGGTATATTATCACTACTTACCTATACAAATTCCATATTCATTGCATGGAATAATAAAAAATAGAATGTTAATTTTGTAATGACATATTTAAGGTATTTTAAAAATCTCTACAACCTAAATTATGGGATAAAATAGTAGATTGAGTAATTTGGAAATAATAGATCTTAGCATCGGATAATAAGTTTTTGAATCAATTTTTCAAATGATAAACAAAAATTGTTTTTAAGAGAGTTGTTCTTGTGGAAAAGTCAAAAGAAATTATTGATAATAGAAATAGCAGCTTTACTAGAAAGAGAAAGTTTCTCATTGGTTGTAAGTTTGACTTAAAAACAATGAGAAAGAATAAAAGCTTACATGTTTACTTAAATCTAAAAGATTATAATGGAGACAATTTTTAAAAGAGTGACTAACTCAAACATTACAAAAACAAAATATATCAAAAATAACGAAAAAAATCCTAATCAATTTGTAGTATTAAGAATTGTGGTCAGGGTAAATCTGATATTGATAAAGTAAAAAATAAAAGTTTTACTGAGATCATAGTTTAATCTGAACCACTTAAAGGATAATTAGAAACTGAGCTCAAGGTAGGGTCAAAGACATCAAGTTAAGGTCAAACTAGAGTCAAAGATATAATACAGCTTATAAATTGATATAATACCAAAAATAAAGTACTATTAGTTATTCTAGAATTTTATGGCATTTAATTTTAAATAATGTTTATGGATTTAATGAGGAAGGTGGGATTTAACTACATTAACACAAAAACCATACCAGGTCCTTTTAATGGAATAAGTCTTCCAAGACGCGAAACTACTGCTCTTTCATGTTGAGGAACAACCTAAATGTAACATAAAATTACGCATATTTATAAAAACCTTACCCAGTGCCGGCCTTAGGGGGGGCGAGGTTAGGCGTCGCCCAAGGGACCAGGAAACTAGGGCCCCAAACATTGTATGCAAACTTTAACAATATAATAAATAGAAAAAATAAGTCAACCTAAATTTTTTCGATTTCAATTTTCGATTTTTTGTTATTTTTTCAAATGTTTGTTTTTTTTATAAAAATAATTTCTTTAAATAATTTCTTTATTGTATTATTACACTGTTAAAATTCTTTATGCAAAATTTATAATTTGATTAAAAGTGTTTCATTCATAGATTATATTTTGTTACTTAAATTCATTTTTTTACTTGTATCTCTCTTGGCGCCAATTATTTTGCGTTCCATTTATTTAAAGTTTAAATTTTAAACATCATTTTCGGTACGAGTTACGAGCGCGTTGTTTATTAATTTGTAGAAGAAATTTAAATTTGTATTTGTGATTCAAATTCAGTTTTTGTCAAGTTTTCAAATTTTGCGGTAATAAAAAGCAGGTAAGTATAAATAATGAAATTGTTTATGAATTATTAGCTTTGCGAGTAATTTTTTATTTTAAAATTTTAGACAAATAGAAACTGTCAGCAGCAATCAATGGAGAGTACTCATAATAAAGAAAAAAATGTTTTCAAAACTCATAATAATAAGAAACCATCTGGTGCTCAATACAGAAAACGTAAAGCAGAAAAAGTTGTAATTTGAAGAAAAATTTAAAAAAACTTGAAAATTTTTTTACATCGGAAAATAGTGATTGTAATAAAATAAAAGAAGGAGAAAATGTTGCGCATGTACTTAGTGATACATCAACCAGCAGTGAAGAAGACGGAATAGTGTCAGTTGGAAATGTTCACTACGATGAAAAAGATATCAATAAAGAAAATGATGATGGCCAAAAAGGTGATGTAAATGATCGCACCAAAGAAACAGCAATCGATTACTCAGACTGTGGTTTGTGGCCAATTCATCCCAACATTCAATTTGTTGATTATGTAATTAATATAGGTGCAATACAAGTGACTTTGGACACATATCCATGCGATAATAGAAGACGACATTTTTCAAATGCTTATTACAACCGAAAACTTTCAAATGGTGAGGTTATTTCACGACGTTGGCTTGTGCACTCAGTTTCTAAAGATGCGGTATTTTGTTTTTGCTGCAAACTTTTTGATTTCAACATGAATTTAAAGTTAAACGGAAATGGATTCAATAAATGGAAGAATTTAACAGAAGCATTAAAAATTCACGAAAATAGTAAAATAAGTCACACAGAATTGCTTATCAACTATGTATTGAGACAGAAATACGAATGAAAGCTGGTAAAACTATTGATAAACAAGAACAAAAACTAATCGAAAAGGACAGTTTAAGGTGGCGAAGTGTTCTTGAACAATTGATGAACATTACTTTATACTTGGCAACAAATAATATGGCCTTTAGAGGTTCTTCTGATAAATTGTATGCAGTTAATAACAGCAAATTTTTAGGATTGGTACAATTACTCGCTAAATTTGATCCTATCATGTTAAACCACGTCACGCTAGCTCTTTAAGGAGATATTTCTGATCATTACTGTGGAAAAACCATTCAAAATGAAATGATAGATATAATGGCATCAAAAGTAACCAACATAATTATACCCAAAGCTCTAAAAAGTACATATTACTCTATTATTGCTGACTGCACTCCTGACGTATCTCACAAAGAACAGCTCTCGCTTACGATTAGAATTGTAAATATATCAGAATATCCTATAAAAATAAATGAAAACTTTCTTGGGTTTTTCAATGTTAATGACACGACAGGTCTTGGTTTAACAGAAATCCATAATTGGAGCTTTTAAAAGATTTTGGACTGAATACAAGCTTTTGTCGAGGGCAAGGTTACGATAACGGTGCAAATATGAAAGGTAAAAAAATAGGTCTACAAAAGCGAATATTAGATTTGAATCCTTTGGCTTTTTACCTTCCATGTTGAAGTCATTCTCTCAATTTGGTTATTTGTGACGCAGCGCAGTCTTCACTAAATTCCATTAACGTTTTTGGCATAATACAAAGATTATTCACATTATTTTCTGCATCAACTTCATGCTGGAATTTTTTAATAGTCATACAACAAACTTCACTCTTAAATAATTATGCGACACTCGTTGGGAAGCCAAAATTTAGAGCCTCAAAGCCATCCGATACCAAATAAGCAGCATACATGATGCTTTAATTACTATATATGAAACTGAAACCAAAACTCCCGATATTGCACACGAAGCGCAAACATTAGCAGAACAATTAAAAGACTATAGTTTTTTAGTTTCTTTAATTGCATGGTACAATGTACTATTCCAAATAAACATTGTTAGTAAAGCAATGCAAGCCAAAGACATGGATCTAGTACAGTGCGCTGAAATGTTGAAAAATGCATCACATTTTTGGAAAATTACAGGACATTTGGCTTTAAACAAGCAAGGGTTGATGCCAAAGAGTTAGCTGAAGAGTTAAACATCGATGCAATATTTAAGCCACTTAAAAGAGTGCGACGAGTGAAACGTCATTATGATGAAAATGCTGCTGACAAACCAATTCAAAATCCCGAGAAGAAACTTAAAGTGACATTTTTTAACCCTTTATTAGATAGATGTCTGTCGTCAATAAATGAAAGATTTGAACAACTTAATAAATATGTAAATATATGGAGTTTTTTATTTAATTTGGATAATTTGCCCATCAAGAATGAACTTTTAAAACTGTGTAAACAATTACAAGAAAAATTAAATGTAAATACAAAATCAGAAATTGATGGTGCTTTTTGCTATGCTTCGAACTAATAAGTGTGCAGTTTTTTATTAAAGATAAATTAAGCAATGTTGAAAATGAAATAAATGCAAAAGAGATGACACCACTTTTTGTACTGAATTTTATTAAAAAACATTGTCTACAAGAGTTATATTCAAATACATGGATTGTTTTGCGCATTCTTCTTACAATACCTGTTACTGTTGCTAGTAGAGAACGTTTTTCTAAACTGAAGTTAATCAAAACATATTTAAGAAATACCATGTTGCAAGATCGACTAAATTCTCTATCTGTTATCAATAGAGCAAGATATAGCTGAAAATTTAGATTTTTCTAGTTTGATAAGAGATTTCGCGGACAAAAAAGCTAGAAAAGTTAGATTTTAAAATTTAATAACTCTTGTTTATATAGTTAGAGGATTTATTATATGTTTAATAAAAACATTTGTTATTTTAAAAGCAGCATTGCGTTGTCTATTTATTTAGTCACTCATTTCTATAAACCCATATCATGAAAAGTCTAAGTTTATAATTTTAATAAAAAATTAATTAAATAAGAAACTTGATGCACAATATGGATCTCTTTGCATTAAACTATATATTCCCTTTAGCACTCTTGTTCATCATTTTAGAGCATTGGTCTCATTGTTAATGGTAACAACCCACCCATATATACCAAGGGGCGCGTTCACAAGTTTTCCCCAACCTGTCAAAAAAGCTAAGGCCGGCGCTGATCTTACCTAAGTATATTTTAGCTTTAAAATTTTTTATTTAAATTAACTTTTAAATTTTTTTTTCATTTATTTTATTAAAAACATAATCCAACAACAAATTAATACTAAAAAGACTTTTTTTTTTTTAACTGAGTAGCCTTCATGAATATATATTACATCTTTCCAAGTCCTAATCCTTATATTTTCTGAAAAATCAGAAAATATAAGGAGTACAAGAGGCCCGTCTTGTTCTGAGGGGACAAGAGGGGCCTATATCTGTTAAAAGAAAAATGGTCATATTATATATAGCCAATATCTGTTAAAAGAAAAATGGTCATATTTCAGGATCTTCTTGGAGCCAGAGACTAAAATTTTCAAGAAATTTTTATTTTACTATGTACTCTCAACTGTATAAAAATCAGCAAAATCTGAGATATGTGGCAACATTTTTAAAAATTTCTGGGTCAATTGACATGGAATTACCCAATAACATGAAGAATATTTCAAATGTTATCAAATAAATAAAAGGTTCTTTGGTATTGAGGCAAACACACTGGTATTTGGTATGGACGCAAGCACATTGGCAAAAAAAAAAAAAAAAAGTTATAATATTAATCAGCTTACATTCAATTTATTATATATGTCTGATTAAATATATACTATAAGTATTTATTATAAAAAGTATAAATACATATTTTAAGTATGTATGTTTCAACATAAAAATATAAAATAAAAATATATAAAAATATAAATCAACATAAAAACTAAATCTAAGTTTCAAAACTGTTTCTGTTTTAGGTTATCATCAAAAAGAAAAAAATAATAAAATAAAATACTAAAAAAATCTTAAAAAATAATAATAAAAACAACATTTTGGAACAACTTAACTATATTTGAACAGTTTTTTTAGCATTCATTCTTTTATCCGTTTTTTCATTCATTTTATTCATTCTTTTCATTATTCAAACAAAATAACATTTTAGAACAATTTATCTATTAATGAACAATTATTTCAGTGTTCTTCAACTTTCAAATAAACCTTAAAAGACCTACTAAAGTCTTGCCAAATCTGTATATCATATTTAAAATACTAACTCAAAAACCCAATATTACAAGACTAAATGCTTCAACAAACTTGAACATATTCTTTACTGAAATGTGATACCATGTCATACCAATATACCGCCATTATAAATAGCTTGATTGCAGGTATTTACTCAACCAATATTCAATAACAACTCTGTGAACATAGAGAAGATAACATAGATTCTCTTTCTAAACAACCTTTATTTTGAAATTAGATCCCATGATGCTCCTCTCTCAATGATCTAATAATAGCTACTGTTGCTAGCACCATACTTCCACATTTTGCAGCAGCACAAAATCATTGATTTACTAAACTTCTTTTTTGGTGTGATTTTGGTGTGGTGGTAAATCATACAAAAAAAATAAATGCATAACTCATCATCTGTACTCATGTTTGTACCCAGTACTGAAAATCAACAAAATGGCATTGAAAATAACAGCTAATAAAACATTTAACAATCATTGATCTATAAAACACTAGTTTAAAAATGCAATAAAAACTTCAAGTCTGTCTACATGAAGCTAAAAATGCTAATCTATACAAGATATTTACAATAATCAAAACATATACAAGATATTTACAATAATCAAAAATGACAAACTTTATTGTTGGTGATTAGAACTAGCAGACATGAACTATATATCATATAGACACTAAAATATGGCAGTTGGGACTGCCAATGTTGTTTATACCTTTTAAAACATTATACAATATCCTTATTTTTTATAATTTTAGGACAATTGATAAAAAGAAAATTTCCAAAGTACAAATGCAAATCTGCAAAAGTGTAATCTAGCAAAACAGTTATTAAAACTTGGTTAAAGGTAGATAGATGTAAACTATCATGAGTGCGACAAAAGAATTTGCAAACACTGGCATAAGTTCAAACTTGTTTCACTCTGTGAGCAGCCGTGGCGCAAGGTTTGATGCCAGCTCTAGCCCAATAAGCAAATTTGGTACGGAACGAGGCATGAACTTTTTTTTAAATGCTCTCCTGCGGTGCTCTGTGATAAGACTGTCAGGACTTCTGGGAGCACCTAAAATAACTACAAAAGAAAAAAAGAAAAAAAAACTCCAAAACATCATAAGTGTAAATTAAAAACTTTGCATGTACTTTTTTTAGCATAAAGCACATATAAATATGATAGAAAGAAACACTTGCAACAAAATGTGCATACATCTACAACTTTTGGTTAAAATGGTTTGGTGCTTTTTTTCCAATTCGCACTTAAGTAGACTTGCATCTACTTAAGCTTTTGCAACCTCTTTGCACTTATCACTTTTATGAAAGTTTGTACTTATACCGGTGTTTGCAAATTTTGTCAGCACATTAATGCAAGTTTGCACTTAATTAGACTTGCTGTTAGTCAAGTTTAAATAAATGCTTCATACTCACAAAGATTTGCACTTATTCAAGTTTACAATTATGTAAATGCTAATAAAAAACATATTAAGAAAATGTCACACATCTAAAGTTTTATTAATTAAATGATTTTTTAAATTTTTTTTTAATTGTTTATTCATCTCCCCAAGGCTGAGAAGGCCACTATAGTTGAGGAGGCTAATTTAATTGTGATTTAATGTGAATGGTAACCACATTAGTGACTCTTTTAACCCTCTCTCAACTCTATAAATCCAAAACATGAACCTTGACAAACAAGACCGCTGCACAGAGAAACAAGTTGAGCGTGGTACTACCAAGAATGTGGTGGGAATGGAACTCAGAACTTCTCACTTATGAAGTAAGCGCTCTACAACTACACCACTATCCTATTTACTAACAATAATGAATAACAATAAAGTAGTAAATAAAAAATATATAACCTTAAAACTGCACCAACAAGAAACAGGTAGACTAATCATCCAAATGATGTATACAATAACCATCACAAAATAATCAAAAACATTAAATGAAGGATCTCCAAGTTTCTCTTAATTGATAAAAAAAAAAAAAATTTAATATGAAAGTTATTCTAAAATATAAAAAACTAAAATTTAAAACATAAATTATGCATAAATTTTTATACATAATATAATGAAATCACTTTATACGAGTTACGATCTGAAATCATTTTATACGAGTTGAAAATGTACAAAAAAAAAACAACATTTCAGCCTCAACTATTAAACCAGAACCAGTTTTAATTACAAGTTTCACCAGGGCCCCAGTCTAATAAACAGTGTCGTGGTTTATCATTTATTATTTCTTTTAACAGTTGAAAATTCTTAAAAATTTAAAAATTAATTTCTCTTTTTTTCTCTTTTTTTAGTTGAAATATTTAACATGTAGCATCTATGCATACCAGCGGACGTATAGTGGCACATAAAAAAAAAAAATAGACATTTATTCACAGGCATTGAACATAATTTTTTTTTTTGTCAATAATAAAAATTTTAAAAAAATGTTTAGTTTTTATATAATAAACTCATAATAAACTCATTGGTTTAATGTAATATTAGAATTAAATTTAAAAAGCGTTTTTAACCATCTGCAAAGTTTGATTGAAGTTACATGGAAAAGCAATAAAAAATGTTAACAAACTATTAAAATATTTAACAACAAAAAATACTCATACCAAGATGTAATGCAGATTATTGGAGGCAATTACCTATTTACCAGTTTAAATTAAGTTAAAGTTAAATGAATTTAGGCTTAAAGCTATACTAAATAAAGTGCAAAAGCAGTTCTTGTTGATAGTCTTATTTTTATAAAACAGACAGTACAAACATTTTTAAAAGACTTAGGGGAAGTGGGGGCATAAGGGGTCGTCTATAAATTACGTCATGCAGTTTTTAACATTTTTTTAACATTTCCCCCCCCCCTCCCTTGTAATGCATCCAAAATATCATCCTCCCCATATAATACATGCAAAATATTATATATACATATAATATATAATAAATAGTAACATGTTATACATGCAAAAATATTAATTTATAAATACAATTTTCTTCCAACTAGCAACGTAAGCGTAGTTGAGCAGATTCTGCCTCTGGCTAGTAAACCGAGGGTTTCAGATTTTTTGTTGATGCACACTTTTGTACACCAACTAAAATAAGTTTTGCGCTTGAACCATATAAATTCAACACGCAGCAGAACGCGCACTGCACAAACAGCCATAACAGCCTGTTAACAGGCTGTAACCATTAACAGGCTGTACACATCGACTAAGTAAAATTTAGATGTAGTTCATTTTACAATCAACATGTAGATACATCAACTGAGGGTTTTGGTTTGGTCAGATACTCTTTTAATTAAAAGAACGTCTTCTCTAAAAAAAATGTTGCATCACAAAATCAAGACCTCCCTCCCCCTCGTAACAAATCGTCACAAAATTGCCTACCCCTTCCCCATAGTGCGGGTTATGCCCCCACTTCCCCTACATTTAAAAAATAAAAATCTAATATATATTATTTTTTATATAATTAATTATTATAATTCCTAATAAAACTTAACTTTTTATAATTCAAAGAATAAAATTAAAAATTTTCTTTTTATAAACAATCAATAAAAGTAAATCATCGCTTAGTTTAAAACTGCTTTACTGATATTGAGGATGAATATGAAATCAACGCAAAATTATAATATATATATATATATATATATATATATATATATATATATATATATATATATATATATATATATATATATATATGTATATATATATATATATATATATATATATATATATATATATATATATATATATATATATATATATATATATATATATATATATTTACAGGGGGTTAACCAGGAATAAATTTGATACAGCGTTTTGACAATATTTGGGAATTTCTCAAAATATTTCCTAATTATCCGCCCCCTCCCCTGAGGGTAAAATGTGTTCCAGGATTGCATGGGGTCCTATTCTTATTTTCTTTTTTTTTCTACTCCATTTCAGTATTGCATGCATTGACTGAACAGCAAAAGTTAAACAAAATACCATCTGTAACATTAATTGAGGATGAATATGAAAAATTAAGTGTTTTCACAACGACATGGCAAAATAAGCTCCGATATCAAAAGATAAAAAATTACATATTTTATATATATATATATATATATATATATATATATATATATATATATATTTTATTGGTGGGCATTAAATATATATATATATATATATATATATATATATATATATATATATATATATATATATATAATATATATATATATATATATATATACATATGTATATATATATATATATATATATATATATATATATATATATATATATATATTTTACTGGTGGGCATTAAAGGGCGATTTTTAATGCATTATAGCAATTTACGTCCAATGAAAATCTCCAATATTCTTTTACTTCTAACTATTATTTATATTCTGATTCACCCTTTATGGATGAAACCTTACACCATCATGTAATGAATTGTGTTATCAAAAAAAATGTTTTGAAAATAGAAAAAAAAAAATTTTGAAAATAGTAAACACAAGCTTGCAAATTTCATATTTCACATTTATTGCGAATTCAATTTTATAATTAATAACAATTTTATATATACATAAATCGCATAACGAAGTAAAGTTACAAATACAAAGTCTGAGCAAAAACAACAACAAATTTCATTTAATTACATAAGAATACTGATCGCAAGCAATTGCATGCCATCGTGGCAACAAAGAATACCAAAAATTATTTTTTCATTCATAGTCATAAAATGTTATTATGACTATGGTTAATTTAAACATTTAAATTATGTTTTTACGTTTTAAATTCAAGCAAGCAATCTAGTTTTCTTGTTTATAAAATTTCTAGTACCAATTTGTTGCAATAAAAAAAACATTCTTGTTATTAATCATATTTAACTTATGTTTTAAAAAAAGCAATTAGTAAAGTAAAGAAACCTATTTTCCTCCTTAAATAAATTTCTAGTACCAGTTTGTTATAATCATAAAATATTTCTTGTATTTAACTTATAATTCAGAGGTAGTCTTTTAAAAAAGTTAGTCGAGAACTGATAGTAGATAAGTAAAACAAGATTTTAGTCAATGCAATCTCCTAATTCAGTTGGTATAAAAAATCAAACAAAAAAAGAAAAATAATAACTAAAAGATTTACCGTAATATCTGTAATTGATAAAAATTTCTAAAGTATCTGACCTAAACAGCTTCTCAATATTTTTGTGGACGGAGCACATTTATTAATTGAATTAGAGCTTGCAGTAAGACTTAATAAGTTATTTAATTTTTCATCCAAAGGGGCGAAACGTGTAAAGAAATAATATTTGCGGGTGTTAAACCAAACAAATTTGTTAATTTTTTAGATTGTACTTTATTTCTTGCTAACTTTTTTATATAATATTTGGTGTTGATAGAACGCCTTACGAAGAATTATTTGCATATTTTGAGAAATGAATTTTAGAAACAACTGCTGAGAAAACCCCTAAAATTGCTTGGAAAATCCCAATCAAAAAGTTTTTTCCTAGAGACATTTTTGCAGTAATGCAATCGCGTAGTTATATAATATCGGCTATTTTATTTCAAGTTTTTATGCAATAATTAAATTAGAATTTCTTATGCTATTTTTCTGTTAGTTTTTATTAAAAATTAATTTTCAATAATTTTAGAATTATTATTACACTTTAATTTGGCAAACTATATTTGGAGAATGGGACTTTTCCACCTTTAAATTAGGAACTTTAAAATTTATGAGCGTTTGGGAATACTGTGTTTGACGAGGCCCCACAGGACTAGTTTATACCCTGATATTAGGGCTGTTCAGTATGCTAATTTGTATTCAGAACATAGCTAATTGAAGTTTTTCCCATTCAACTATCATATTGTGGTTCAAATATATTTTTCACTCAATTTTATTACTTGCCTTAAAGGTCCTTCAAAGCCCCCAAACATTTGACAGGTCCCTAATATTATTAAAAAAAAAATATTTAAAAATATATCAACTTGGTACTCAAAAAAAGCAAAATTTTATAAAAATTTTAAAAATTAGATTCATTTTTAAAAAAAAACAACTTAAAAAAACTTATTACTAAAAATGTTGTAAATATTACCTTTTTTCCATTTTTCGTTTAAAAAACATAGTTTTTATTCAAGAAAAACCTAAACTTGTAATTTTTATAAAAACATTTTTTGTTTTTGAAATTTTTAAATGATTTTGCTTCTTTTGAGTACTAGGTTGACATATTTTTAAATAATTTTTTTTTAATAATATAAGGGACTTGTCAAATGTTTGGGGGCTTTGAGGGACCTTTAGGGCAAATAATAAAATTTAGTAAAAAGTATTTTTGAACCACAATATGATAGTTGAATAGAAAAAACTTCAATTAGCTATGTTCTGAAAACAAATTAGCATACTGAACAGCCCTACCCTGATATATATATATATATATATATATATATATATATATATATATATATATATATATATATATATATATATATATATATATATATATATATATATATATATATATATATATATATATATATATATATATATACATATATATATATATATGTATATATATATACATATATATATATATATATATATATATATATATATATATATATATATATATATATCAGGGGTGTACCCTCATGGTCATCTGGTGGCACAGGACAACTCGATTTCTCCAAGGGTGACTGAAATTTAAAAAAAATACCTGTGAGTAGCCCAGCAAGACAATCAGACAGTTTAAAAAAGAAATGACACAAAACAGACTGAGACAAAAATGATGATCTTTAAAAGTTGTATTTGATATTTATCTCTTTACCAATATCTTTTTGAAACAAAAGTTACTAAACAATAATTTTTACCAGGTTATAACTTTTGACTTTTTTTTATTAATTAACTTTCTTTTAATTAATTCTTTTAACTGTTTCTTATTTGATGTTTTTCAGTAGTCAGAGGTTCAAATTTTTTTTATTCAGTATTTTCACCTGAGAAAAAAAAAACAAAAAAACAACTACCAAACTACCGATTATTATAGCAGATGACTCAAATGAGAAAAAAAAACTATTTCAGTCGCCCGCAGGACAACCGGGAAAAAACTGGAGGGTACAACACTGTATGTGTGTATATATATATATATATATATATATATATATATATATATATATATATATATATATATATATATATATATTAAAATAAAAAAGCAATAAAACTTATGTTAACTAGATTTTACATGTATTAGTAAGAGGGTGTCCCAATGTATCAGGCTTGATTGAAGATCAATGGTAAAATGAATATACCAACAGTAGTTTTATATTATTGACGATATATTGTTTTTACCATCAAACTTCAATCAAATGTGACATATTGTAACTGTATTAATTCTTTGTACCATTAAGTTTCATTATGAATACTTTTTAAATAGCATATTTGGCAGATCAAAATACAATAATTTTAACATGTGATTTATTAGATTATTTGGAAGATCACTAATAAGAATTCAGGTTCTTTTATAATCTAAAAGAATTTCCCTAATAAAAATTGAGCTAATTTTATTATCTGCTTTACCATTTGTACTATATAAATGATCTGCTCGGCTAATCTGCTCAGCTGATTGTACTTACCCATTATTTTGCAACGAAATAACAATCTATTATTGTTATAATAAACCTTAAAAACGATACATACTAAACTCAAAATTAAAATTAAAACCATAAATTAATTAATCAGCAAATCTGTTTAAGAAAACAAACCTTTCCTATCAAAATCGTCATAGTAAACAACGTGTGGATTATCAACAGAACTAAGATTTGAGTATTTCGTTAACTTCAGCATCTAAATTAAATATATTAGAAATTCTTATACAAAAATATAACTATTTGCATATAAATGTTATATATATATATATATATATATATATATATATATATATATATATATATATATATATATATATATATATATATATATATTATATTATATATATATATATTATATATATATATATAATATATATATTATATAATGTTATATAAATGTTATAAATTATATGTTATAAATGCATATAAATGTTATACATATAATATATGTATAACATTTATATGTTATATTATATAATATATATATATATATATATATATATATATATATATATATATATATATATATATATATATATATATATATATATATATATATATATATATATATATATATATATATATATATATATATATATATATATATTATTATATATATAATATGCAATAATAGTATGAATTATATAATTTATTGATATTTAGCGTGCCATAAAAATTTTTTCAAAACATTATCCCACCTTGGTCCGATATTTCAACTTTATAGCAATAATTGCTAAGGCCACTAAAAACTGAATTATCTGTTATAAAAACATGATACTCCACACTATTGTGTAAAGAAACATAATTAATTTAGACCTTTGATTAATAAACTGTTAAATAACCAATCCGCATCTAAGTCTCATTGAGTGGTCATTTTTATCGCATTAAAACCAATGTTTAGAACTTTTAAATTTACATTAAAATTGATATTTAATAGTATGCCATTTATGATTACTTTGAATTTTTCATTTTCACAATCATTACCGTGTTTTAGAATTACCCTGTGGTATTTATAAGTACAATTTTACAATTTTTAAACGATTTTTAAACGAAAACAAGTTTGTTTCACTTCCAATTTGTTTAATAATAAAGGAGCAACAGTTTTTTTTATGTGTGTGTGATTATTAAGCTGCACCTAAAGGCCTTACGCCTTTATCACATTTCACTAGGAAGCTCACGCCTCCTTCCTTATCGATGCTGCTTATTGGGGTGGAGCCGGCGCCGAACCTCTGACTTCTTGGTTCTGAAACAGAAATCTAACTACAGCGGCTCGGTCATACGCCAAATACGTTTAAATAAGAGTAAATAATGCACAGCCAATACTTAGTTAATTTAGTTAAGTTCGTTTACAAGTTCGTTTTTTTTTCCGTGTCAGATAGTTAGACCAACAAAAATCTTGACCTATTAAGTTGTTTTACAAAAAAAACATATACTAAAAAAACATATACTCAGATAACCTTCCCGGCTAACACAAAACATTCAACGAACGTAGCGAATGTTCTATGAACATTCATAGAACGTACTCGAACGTTCGCAACGTTCGGCTAACGCATTTAAACATTTTGTGTTAGCTGGGCTACACAAAACGTTCAAATACGTTCGCCAACAAAACATTCAAATACGTTCAAATTCAGGCCAAAATCGTTTTCAACCGAATATAGTCTTTTTTTATTTTCAACCAATATATGACGTTTTCGTATTCGACCGATTTATTTTTCGACCTAATTTATAAATTTTCATTTTCAACCAATTTGAGATTAACTAAATTTCAACCATTTATCTGGTCTATGTTTTTAACGTTGTTTTTTTTAAACTAAGAATTTTTTTTTTTTTAATTAACAATCATTAAGTTTTCCAAGCATTCATTGAACCTTATACCTCCCGATTCTGAGGATAGCGCTTCAACCACTGCTCAAATTTGACTTGTATTCAAATTAACAACAAAATATACAAAATACATACCAGAATGGCATATTCATAAAATTGAAATACAGTAGTTTGAAAATTCAATTGGTCAAAAATAAGTTGGTCAACAATTTTGCAGGTTGGAAAATTAGTAGTACGTGTTTTAATAGGGTGTAAATATAAAAAATAAAAATTCTCGGTCAAAAATCAAAAACGTGTACGATTTACGAATTTTCAAAATTAGGTTGAGATATAGGCCACCGCTTTTTACTTTCGTTACTGACGTTTGGAAAATGTAATGTAATGTGAACATGCGTCATGTGAACAGAAATAATTTTATATTTTTGTTTAAAGTCTTTTGACATAATTTATGCGCTGACACAAGTCTAGGTCTAGTTTAGAAAGAGTTAAATGGTTACAAGTTAATTAAAGTTTAAAAAAATAATAATAAAGCTGTTATTATGTATTGTAAAAACCATATTAAAATAATATAAGTGGTTGTATACAGATTCTCAGAAGCAATTCTACAAATAAAATGAAGTGGGCGAAATTCTTAAAAAGTACCGACTAGCTTCGTAAAAAAAAAATACTCAGTTCTTCAGAATTACGAATATTCAGTAGTTAGAAAATTCAGTACGTTAAAAATACAGTAGGTCAACAATTTTCATTTTAATAAAGTTTTAAGTTTTTAACAAATATCATTATGTAACAGCAGAGCAATATAGAGTAAAGTTTACTCTATATATTTTGTACATGTTCTGATAGATTTGGGTTATTAATAAAACAATGACCAAATGATACTAGTTCCTTCTCAAATTCCTTTATATTTCTATAAAAAAAACTCCATTTCTTTCATTATAAAAATAGTAACTTTATCTCCTGCAAACTGATATAAAAAATTAAAAACCATCACTATTAACAAAATAGCGAACAACATCTATATCAAAAAAGATGTTAAAAGTGCTTTGAAACATCATCGAGAGCAACGAATATCATTAAGAAAGCGTGCATTCAAGTTCTATGTACCAAAATTGATACTGATTGATAGAAGTACAAATCAAAACCCAGGTCAACATGGAAGCAGAAAGGCAACAGCTTTATTAGTTAAAACTGAAAATTTATAGACTCATTTAGTTCAATGATTTAGCAATTGGGGGTTACGGTTCGACACAAACCAATATATTTTCTTTTGTTCAACACTATTTAAAAAAAAAGAAGCGTTTATCGAAAAATGTTGAACCTTGATTACAGTGGTAGTATGAAAAGTGATGGAAACACGATGCAATATGACGCAGAGTAGATAAAGTTGTTTAAACAGAGGATTTTCTTGCACTTAAGATATAATTGAAAAATACTTTAACAAAACAACTGCGTTAATACATCAAGCTTCTACTTACCTCCTTTTGCCGTTTATAAATCAAAAAGATACTTATATCAATCATGGTGCAAAAATGATCCAACTGGCACTTTGTTTACAAGATCAGATTTAGGATGGATTGAGATCGAAATCACAGTTTATTAAGTAGTTGGAACGGCTATTCATACCAGCAGTTCAAATAATTAACGGAGAACACATTCTTGTCTTAGATGGTCCCTGCACTCATGCGTCATTAAAAGTTATTGAAGTATGTAATGTTGTTATCGACTTAGACTAAATCGATAGAAAGTCGACTAGTCAAAATTAGTCGACTTTGAAAAATATTCGATTTCTTGAACTTTTAAAAATAGTTGATTTAATCGACTATGGATTCCCTTCTAATTGACTAAAAATCGATTTAGTCGAGCAAAAATCTTAAAATCCTTATATCTTTTATTTGATTTAACTTTTCAATCTTTAATTTTCGTTTGTTCATTTAATAACTATGTACTATTAATAATGCTATTATAACTATTATCTCTTTTAAAGTTTTATCTAATTCATAGCATGTTAGCACTATTTATACCTAATTAAGGTGGTATCCAGGCATTATCTTTGCAAAAAATGGAAAAAAAAATAAAAAATTTGAAAAATTAAATATTTTTTCAACAATTAAACTTCCTAGAATTCAATAGAAAATTTTTTAAAAATAATACTTGAAAAGATTTTTGTGCTTGTGATTTTTGAAGATTTATCTGAGTAGTGTATTTTTAATTTTAAAATGATTTTTTTCAGATTCTTTTTTTTTTGAGTTGCTGTCAAAACAATGATGTCTCAATAAAAAAAACATTATTTTAGCTTCAAATTTTTAAGATATGTTCATTATTAAAGTTATTAGTGCCTGAACCTAAATAAAAAAAACAAAAAAAACAAAACATCAGGCACATGTTACACTAGTATACAAGCATTGTGGAAAAATTTCAATCTTTTATATTAAAATAATCTTAAAATATTTTATGTTCTTGAGACATTAACTTTTTCTTTTTTTTTTGCTGAGTCAACAGTTATTTTTTTCTGAATTAAAAATCTTTTTGCAATACGTTTTAGACTTTTATCTTATATGCTAGTAATTCATCAAAGGAATTTATTTCAAATAAAATATAAAAAAATAAAAATAATTCCAGTATACCACCTCAAACGTTTGATTTTGTATTAGTTTTTCTTTATTTACTTGATGCTTGTGATTTTAATCTTTTTTGATTTCAATACTTTCTTTCAGGGCCGTTCCAAGCTGACTCGTGGCCCTGGGGCAAAGTTAAGTTTTGAAGCTCCAAAGACCTATGAAGTGTCATTAATCTATACAATCACTTTGTACATATGATTGTAATAACTTTTTAATAAATAGCAAGTACTCTCCCTACCTAACTATAGGGATGGGGGGGGGGGGGTTAAATAGTTAGGGGAACTAGACACAGCAGTAAAAAAATCATAGATTGGAGTGTTGCAATTGTCGAGGTGGGTGAAGATTTTCAAATTAGTGTTGAGTTATAACTTCTAGCCGCCCAATCTAATGACCCCCTTGGTCATTAGATTGGGCGGCTAGAAGTTATAATTTTTCTTTCAGATTTTTTTTCAAACTTTTAAAAAAAGTTAATTTTTACTCATTCATTATTTATAAGCAACCACGCAACACTTTTGAGTTTTAGGCTGAAAAAAAGATGTCAACTTATTCAATGATGCTGACACTTTAACAAGATTTTTATGTTTCTCACTGTGAACATGGCGCTCCGAGTCAGTAGTCCCTTTGTTAGCAACGGATGCGAGTAGGTGTCAAGTGTGTGTGGGGGAGGGGTGCCATACAACTAATTATCCTTTAGAAAAGCACGGATACTTATTTATTATAGTGCTTAAGAATTTGGATTTTCTCTTTGTAGAAATTGAAATCATTTTTATGCAGAAAGCAGCAATTCAATTGTAAATTCGAAATCTCGTTTTTGGTACGTAAGTTTTTGCATAAGCCCAAACTGACATAAACAAAATGCGCAGAGTTAAAAAATAGAACTGACTTTTTAATTAAAAAAGATTATAATGTCAAAAGAACTTGAAAAGTTAATCAGTTTTGAGAGCTTATTTTGAATGGGGTTCTTTCAAATTTTTTTGTCAAGCATTGCAACAAATATCTTTATAGGAAGGTTCTTTCATTAGATTTCATTAGATTCTGTTCTTTCATTAAAATTAAACAAATCACAAGGAGTTGATAACATTAGCAGTAATGTCATAATTAAATGTATCTTCTATATTAAAAAAATCCTTTTGCATATATTTAATCTTTCGTTTAAACAAGGAATCTTTCCAAAAAAACTTAAAATTGCAAGGGTAATACCAGTTTTTAAATCTGGAGATAATACTAATATTTCTAATTATAGACCTATTTCCATTCTTCCTTGCTTCTCAAAAATACTAGAACGCATTATGTATAACAAATTATATTCATATTTAGAAAAAAATAATATTCTATATAACAAACAATTTGGCTTCAAAACAGGACACTCTACTGATCATGCAATTCTTCATCTTG